AAGGCTCCTGTTATAATTGTGTTATTGCTTATTTGATTTTTCATTTCTGTTAATATTTGTTTTGTATAGCTAGGTGCTCCTGAATTCGATGCATATATATTTAAGATTGATATGTCTTCCTCTTTAAGTTTTCCCCTTAACTAGTATGTAGTGATCCTCTTATTTCTTTGGATCATTCTTGATTTGAAATTCACATTGTCTGCAAACAGAATAGCTACTCCTGCTTTTTTGGGGGATCCTGTTACATGGAGTATTGTTTTCCATCCTTTGACTTTTAGTCTGTGAGTTGCTTTTTTGGGTTAGATGCGTTTCCTGTATACAGCATATGGTTGGATGTTGTTTCTTGATCCATTCTGTCAGTTTGTTTCTTTTAATTGATGAATTGAGGCCATTTACATTATTGGTTATAACTGGTATATATTGGTTTACTTTTGACATGTTATCTTTCTGTTGTTGATTCTTTACCTTTCCACTCTAATTGTTTGCCTTGCTTAGTGGTTTTTTTCCTATGTCTATCTAGAATGTCTGTCAGTATTCTTTGCTGGATTGGTTTTGCGGTCATGAAGTTCTTCAGCTGTTCTTTGTCGTGGAAGTATCTTATTTCTCCATCTATTTTGAAGGACAGTTTTGCAAGTTACATCCGTCTCAGCTGGATGTCGTTTTCCTTTAGGTTCTGAAGTACTTCACTCCATGCTCTTCTTGACTTTATTGTTGGTGTTGAGAAGTCTTCTGTGATTCTGATAGGCTTTCCTTCATAGGTGGTCTGTCTTTTCTCTCTAGCAGCTTTTAATATTCTGTTCTTATGTTGGATTTCTGAGATGTTGATTATTATATGTCTGGGTATAGTTTTATTTTGGTTATGGCTATTTGAAGTTCTGTATGCTTCACTGATCTGTATGCTAGTTTCCATTCTCAGCTATTACTTCTGTAAATAACTTATTGATATCATTTGTGTTGTCACCCTCTTTTTTGTTTATACCTATCAATTTGATGTTGTTTTTCTTTGTATTATCTTGCAGCTGTTAAATTATTATCTAATTCCTTGTTATTTTTAAAAGATCTTTCCTTTTCTGTACACCACTTACAATCTTGTCTTTGAGGTCTAAAATTCTATCTTCACTTTCATTGAGGTGGTTTTGCCAATTTTTGATGGAATGTTTGATTTCCTGTATATCTTTGAATCTGCTTCAAGCATTCTGTTTGTTTCTTATATTGTTCATTCATAGTTTCCATCTTTTTGCATTGTTCCTCTAATTTTTTAACTATTTCTTCTTTAGATTTGTTTAGCATTTCTTTCATTACATTTATCATTTCTTCTTTTACCTGGGAGGTTATTTCTGATCTGAGTTCTTTCATAGCTTCCTGGAGTTGTTTCTTTACTTCAGGTGTTATCATTGCAGGAATTTCGGATATATGGCTTACATTTTCTTCTGCATCCATTATCTCCTAGGCTTGCTTGGCTTGGGCTGGAAGTTTGAGATTGCATTTTGCTCTTTCATTTTGTCATTTTCCTATATTTCTGGGTTTCAAGCAATGTTTCAAAGCTTCTCCCATGTGCTGGGAATCACCTGGCCCACTTCTGGCTCCCAGGGCAGACTGCAGGCAACTGCTAGCTGCTTGGAAGTTGCTGGACGTGGCCCAGTTAGGCTGGGGGTCCTCCCTCCCATGTGTCCTCTGGTGATTTGGAACACTGGATTTGATCTTATCTCTGGGAGCAATGTTCCAAATCTTACCCTGTGCTCTGGGATTCAACTCAGCAGGTTCAGATCCCAGCACTGAATTCCGGTCCTTGCTAGCTGCTTGGAGTTTGCTGGGCATGGCCCAGTTAGGCCCATGGAGACTTCCTGTGCATCCTCTGGTGATTTGGAATGATGGGTGTTGTTTTACTGCCTGGGAGCGACTTTCCAAGGCTTCCCTGTTCACTGGGATTCAACTCGCACATGTTCGGCTCCTGGGACTCAGTTAACCTATATTTAAAAGACTTCATCCTATACAATTTTTCCCACTTACTTAGTTTTCCTTGTATTTTCCTGGATACTCTTTTCCACTTTCCCTTGCTGGTTCCTTCTCCTTTGCCACCTCTGAAAATGGTGTATTTCAGGGCTCTGTCCTCTGTTGCTTCCGTTTTTTTGCGATTTCATCCTGCCTCATGCTTTTAAATGCATCTGGAGTTGTTACTCCTTATTTGCAGATTGTGTATTTATGAATTTACTGACTTTTTTTGTAATCCTCCATTTAGTGTTGACTTATGGTTTTTCCGCGATCATTCATGGACATTCACAAATGGTAAAAAAATGGATTGTGTAGGGCTGATGTGCACTATCACAGCAGACGTTGGGTAAAGTCTTGTTCTTTCTTAGCTTGTGTTGCAAATGATATGTTAGGGGCTGCATTTAAAAAAATGTTTTTGTGTTTTTTGATGAGATTTTGCTGTTTATAATTGCCCTCCTAGATGTTGTCAGTTGTTTCTAAGTGTAACAAGCTGTAATGTGTCTTAAAAGAAAGTATATGTGTGAGATGTAAGCTATAGTCAAGCATGGGTTAGTAATGTTGGCATTGAGTTCAATGCTAATGAATAAACAATGCATAATAAAGTTTCTTTAAACAGACATGCATATCAAACAAGGTTATATATTGATCAGTTGGTGAAAATAAGACCCAAAGTTCATGGGACTATAGTCCGTTGCTTTTCCTATGAATAATTATTTTGTTCTTGCTAATACAATGTTTATGGAGATTTTGTAGAATGTAATTTTTGTGAATTAGAATTAACTGTATATGTTGTTGGACCTCAAGCTAAATTTTTGACCTCCATGCTTATGTATATAACTACTTTTTCATCATTATATTTGGATTTTTTGTTGTTGTTGAAAAGCTCATCAATTTTTTGGTTTGAAAATTTTTATTTGTACATTTTAAGTATACATAATGTTAACATTCATCATAGGGAATTTGTACCTATGCATGATATCTCTTGCTTCTTTCCCATTCCCTTCCCCTCTCTTCAACCTCTCTTCTATGTTTGGATAGTTAATTGGCATTTTGAACTTACTATGTTTCAAACAGAACTCTCATTATCTTCTTAAATCTTTCCCAACTCAGTAAACTACATCATCATTCGTGTACTGGTTGCTTAGTGTCAACTGGTTGCTTAGCGTAACTGTCTAACACATATCTCTATGGCAACTAAAGTCCAAGCTCCAAACAGTGCTCCTAGATGATCTGACACTTGTCTGCTCTGATATCACCTGTTGATGAACTTAATTTTCTGTGCTTTTTTCCTAGTAGCCTTTGTTCTATTGTACCTTAAGCATTCCAATGTCAATCTTTCTCAGCACTTTTCTTTATTTGTTGTTCCTCCCTCCAATTTCCCTGATATTTTGTCTTCATATTATCCAGCTATTTTCATTGTGGCTACTTTTTGATTGTTTTCTTTTTGAGGTGATCTGTTTCAGAGTGGTCTTGAACTCATGTGTAGGCCTCAAACTCATACTGTCCTTTTGCCTCAGCCTCCTGAGTGCTGGTATTAGAGTTCTGTGCCACCATACCTGGATTCACTGTGGCTACTTTTGAACAGCTCTCCTGTTTATTATCTTTTAACACTGCCCTTTTCATTTGCATGTTTATTTTTTGCCTGTCCTCCTATGGTACAGTGATACTTCCTTAAAGTCAAGAACTTTGTTTTCACTCTGGAATCTTCAGTATTGGTATCTAGTTCTTAGTAGAGTTTCAATAAATATTTATTGACTATTAATTGATGGAGGGCTCAGGAAATATATTTCAGGGTTGACAAGTGAAAAAACAAATTAGGTTGAGAATTTCTCTATAATTGGCATTGTATTTTATCCAGATCAGAAGTCTATAAGGTAAGTCAGGAAAGAAAGAACTGGATACATTTCTTAAAAATAAACCCAGAGCAAACAAATTTCTCAATGCTGTCTCCTCATATATTCTATTATTATTTAATTTGAAGTAATTTTTCAACACATAAATTATGAATAATTGGAGATAGACATCAAAAAATCACTATTTGAATTGTGCCTGTAATAATTTGATAGTTGAGTTACAAACATTGCTTATTATACCCATATAACAAGTAACATGTCTCATTCAGGAATAGCCATCGGATACCCCAGAGACTTTTTTTTTTCAAATAGCAAATTTATATTTATTGTTTCTCTGATTTTTTGCTAGGAAGAAAGAATGTGGACTACTTTAAAGCATAGATATAGTTTAAAGTTTTCTACATTTTTCACCTTGTTCTTTTTTGTACTGGGGTTTCAGTGTATTGCCCAGGGTGGCTTTGGACTCCTGTGCCCAAGTGATCCTCTTGGCTCAACTGCCTGAATAGCTGGGACTACTGACACACACCACATACCTGTCTTAGAGTCTTTAAAAATGGTATTATCATGATGGATTTATATGACCACAGGATTAATAGTTGGCACAAATCTTTGTGAAGCTAGACATACATAAAGCAAATGACTTCACATATTATGCTTTAAAAATGGAAGAATAGGGGCTGGGGATTTAGCTCAGCGGCATAAGCACTTGCCTTGCAAACAGGTAGTTGTGAGTTTGATCCTGGTGCCGATAAAAAGTTAAAAAAAATAAAAAATAAAATAAAAATGGAAGAATAGGAGGCCGGGAATTTAGCTCAGTGGTATAAGCCTGTCTGGCAAGCGCGAGGTCATGAGTTCGATCCCTGATACCAAAAAAATAAAAAATAAAAAACAAAAATGGAAGAATAAAAAAGGTTCATCTCTAAGAATTAAGTTTGTGATCCATATGGGACAACCAAGGTTGTTACCAAGGAGAATGGAAAGAATTCAGAGTAACAGAATTTTAGTATTAGAGGGAGTTTTAGTGACACTCTTATGAACCATGGAACGATACATTAATTTGGATTAGAGTTAGATACTAAGATAAATCTTTTGATTATGATATCCTGATGTTCTTTAACATAACTCTTCTACTGTTATATCTTGTATTTCTTTCAGGCTGGCCCTTACTGCTATGAATAAATTTGAAGAAGCAGTTAGGAGTTATCAAAAGGCATTGGATCTTGACCCCGAAAACGATTCCTATAAGTCAAATCTGAAAATAGCAGAACAGAAGTTAAGAGAGGTATCTAGTCCTTTAAGTTTTTAGTGTGAAATGAGTGATATATTTTCTCTTTCAGAATTTATTGAAATTAAATTGTAGTAGTTGGAATGATTCTCAGATACAGCTCTTTTACAGACAGGAACTGGATTGAGCTTTGACATGGCCAGCTTGATAAATAATCCAGCTTTCATTAGTATGGTGAGTATATTTCCTTTACTGAGCTACTGATTTGGTTTTCCTTAGAGTGATATAATTCTAAAACTGTATTCCCCAAACTTCTTTAAGAGATGAAGTTTTGGTCTGTTGCCCAAACTAGCCTCAAACTCTTGTACTCAAGTGGTCTTTTTGCCTCTGCCTCCCCAGTTGCTAGGACTACATGCTTCAACTCTGTTTTAGAAACAAATAGAAGAGTGTCTGTCCTGCTGATAATAGTGAAGTACTGATGGCAAACGCTAAGGCAGATGTTTTCCCTTTGTCCATCTTTCTCTGAAGGAAGCTAGAAATGGAGTTCAGAAAGCTCATGAGTTCTTCAAAGGGGTATATAGAAATCTGTGTATAGGTTGATATCTGCGTGTTTCTAGGGAAAAAACTTTTTCATCAGATTTGCATAACATTGTGCATATATATAAAAGATTAAGAATTCAGTCTCATATGAAACTGGGCCTAGGAAGATAGATCGAACAGTTTTAATCTCTGTAATCCTCAGATTTAAATCTATGATGGCCACGATGGTTCCCTAAAATTGTCCTCAGTATTGTCCGTCTTGTTTTCTATCTTAAGAGTTTATTTGAAACTGAGAGTGTAATCATGAAAAAATTATTTGAACTTTTCTTATATATGTATTTTATTTTTCAAAACAAAATAACATATTCTTGGAAAACATATAGTGCTCTAATGTATGGTAACTCTGTTTTAGTGGGGATAGGGTTTTATCTGAGCATATAATGCTTTCTCAGTGACTGTATATTTTGGATAATAAACTTACCACGTACATGCTGGGCCCCTTAAGGCAGGAATAAGTTTATTTTTAATTTTTTTTTCCTTTAAATAAATGTGCTTGTGTCCATTAAACCCTCTGTTAAATTGACATGCATAAATGACTTATTCCCAGTGAGATAAAGACATCGTTTGAGCAATCAGTAACCTCTCTCCAGATCAAAGTTAGTTGGTCCTCCTACCTACTTACTGACAAATATATCCTTCTTTGTGAGTTCTATGACATTTTTTAACGTGGGTACCCACGTCTAGGATTCAGCTTGTGCTATTTTAACAGTATGTAAAAATGGAGTTCTTTTGGTTTTAGATTTAATGTAGGTTTCAAGCTGCTGTGTACAAAAATAAAGTGTGACCCTACCATGTAGGAGTTGCAAGAGATGCAGGTTAAAGAACAGATTTTTGGGTTCTTAAGGAAGACCAGTGCTGGGTATATAGCTCAGTACATGCCTAGGTTGATCCTTGGCACTAAGGAACAAGAAAAAAAAAGGCTCAGGTTGACATTTAAAATGGGACCTTTGGACACAGCTTTTGGAATTGCAGAGCCCTGATTCATGTGTGAAGGAAGTGGGAGAGCCTGACTTCAGCTCAGGCTCATTTTGAAATGGCATTTTCTGTTCTACTCAAGGAAGCCCTGTTGAGCAGTCACGGCTCTCAGACGCCGCTCTCCTTCAGAGTGGACCCTCACACATATAGGAGATTGTTGTTTTGTTATTTTGTTTTCTGAGACAGAATCTCGTTGTGTAGTCCAGGCTCCCCTTGACCTTTGTCTTAGTTCTCTTGTTGCTGAGACAAAATACCCAAAACCTTTATTGCAGCTTACAATTTGTAGAGGTTTCAGTTCCTAGTTGAATGACTTCCGAGCAGAGTGGCATAGCACATGGGCATCACAGAGGGATACAGTTCATGGTGGGCAGGCAAGAGATGAGAGAGCAGCATTAGCAGCATGCAGCAGCAAGGCACAAGCCTCTCCCTTGTTTCCTTTCCAGGCTACCTGCCCTTCAGATGGTGCCACCCATACTCAGGGTGGGGTTTCCCACTATCCTTACCCAGAACTATTTTTAACCAATTAGTGGTCTAATTTAGTAATCATGAATTTTTAGTCCTACCTCCACACAGCCAAGAAACAGCCACCTCTGTAAGCCGAGTACCTATGAGTACATGAGGCTTTGGGAGCACATCTAGATACAAGCTATAACAACCTCAAATGTAGCCTCAGCCAGCCTTAAATTGCAGTCCTACTGTGTTAGTGTCTCTAGTCCTGGAATTAAAGGTGCATGCTACCATCCATAAGAGATTCTTTAAACAGAAACATCTTGGTTCATGAATACTTCTATTTGGCAACAATTTGATTCTCAAACAAAAGCATTCAATAAAGTTTTGTTTCCATTCTCAAACAAACACAACTGGGACCATTTTACCTACAGGGACATAAATGAGGCCATCTTCCCCCAAATTATAAAACAGGTTAAGTTTGTGAGCTAAGATACCACTGTACTTTAGTTTCTGTTTATTTTTTTTTCTTTTGGCTTAATTTATCTGGTAAGTAGTAGTAAGTAATTACAGCCAAATCCTCTTGGTGTTTTTATGGTATTATCTGTGATCTTTTTATCTTTGCAGTATCTTTTTTAATGCCAGTTTTGCTAGTACCTTTTTTTTTTTATAATACTCCCTTTTACAATCCTTTGTATAGGACACTAAAACTCTGCAAAGTAATCTTAAGAGTTTATTTGGAGCTGGGGGTATATCCATAAAAAAATACAAGGTTTAGTTTTTATTCTTTGACTCTTAAAAAATCTTCATTAGGGCCAGGGATTTAGCTAAGTAGCATAAGCACTTGCCTAGCAAGCATAAGATCATGAGTTTTATCCTTGGTACCAAAAAAAAAAACTTTATTAAAAACTTCCACATATTGAGTTTAGTGGCAGAGTGTTTGCCTCACATGTGCAAGCCCCTGGGTTTGAACTCTGGCACTGGAAGGAGAACAAAGATCCCTAAATATGAACTGCCTTTAATGGGAGATACCACTTTCAATTCTAGGCAGCAAGTTTAATGCAGAACCCTCAAGTTCAACAGCTGTAAGTATTTAGAAAGAGCTTGTTACATTTTCCTTTTGTACTTCTCATCTGCTAATTTGAGCACATTTGCTCAAAAGTGATAAATTTGCCCTGAATGCCAGTCATTTGGAACTTAATGTCACATCTGTTTGACCTAACTTCTTATATAATGTGGGTATATTAAACTTTCTTTTTCTTAACCAGTTATCCTACTTATTAAGAATATACAATAATCTAGGGGCTGGGGATTTAGCTCAGCGGCATAAGCGCTTGCCTTGAAGCACGCAGTTGTGAGTTCAATCCCTAGTACTGACCAAAAAAAAAGAATATATGATAATCTTAATATATCTCTTACATATCCTAGCATGTCAGGAATGATGACAAATGCCATTGGAGGACCCGCTGCTGGTGTTGGGGGCCTAACTGACCTATCCAGTCTCATCCAAGCGTAAGTGCTGCTTAGAAAAGAAAGAATGAAAATGTAATTTATGTTTTACAATTTGTCTCTAAGCTGAATGGGCAGGGCTTTCTTACTTGTGTGTATGTATGTTTATTAGTACATGTTTGCAATACATAGTGTATATCTTCACTGTAGGGAGTTGATGCATATTATTACATAGCAGTCCTTTTGATTTTGCCTTCTGTTCCTTTCATACCCTCTCCCTCTGTCTCAAGATCTACTTCAGGTCTTCAAAAGTCTAACCTCATTTCCTATTGTCTTTTATTTTACTAGATAAATTATTCATACTTTGGGTTTCTCATATGAGGAAAAGCATGCAATATTTAACCTTCTGTTTCTGATTCATTTCCTTTAACATTATTGTTTCAAAGTGTATCCATTTTCTGCCAAGGAATCAAATTTATGCTTAATGACTGAATAGTATTATACCATACTTTCTTTACCCACTTATCTTTCAATGCACATATAGATAGTTTCCAATATTTAGCTATTTTTAAATTTTATTTTAAAGAGAACAAAATAAAACAAAACAAAACACAACAAAGCAGATCAGAATCAAACAATGCAAGCAACACAGGATTTCAAGACAGACAATAGGAAATCAACCATGGATACCACAGTGTCTCCTGTTCTCCCCAAAATAATTGTCCATATCTTCACATACATTGAATTCAAACAAAATAAAACTAATTAAAAAAAAAGAATGAAAGCGTTACTGGCCTTCAAAACCAGACAATAAGAAAATCATCAATGGCTACCATAATATCTCTTGTTCTCTTCAAAATAGCTGTCCATATTTTCACATATATTGAAACCAAATAATAGAAAACAGACTAAAACCAGTCAAAAAGAGAATAAAAGCATTATTGGACTTCAAAGTAAGACAATAGAAAAGCAGAAGTGACTACCATGTCTCATTTTTTTAAAAAGTAGCTATTCATCCTATTACGCGTAATAAAATTAATTCTTGTAAATCCTTTAGGAGAAGTTCTAGGTATGTATGAGCCTAGAAATGTATATCTATCTTTTCTGTATTAGAAGGAAAAACACAACCAAAACCAAACACATTATAAGAAAAACAAGAAACAAAAGAGACAAACAACAACAAAAAGCCCCAAACAATGACCATATAGGCCCTTAAAACAAGGGAGTAAGAACATAACCAAGGTTGTTATTTTGCATAGTTATCTTTAAGAATTACTCAGATTACCAGATATAAACATGCAAAATTGATGGGATCCTATGAATGTTAACTGTTTTGTTCCAAGAACTAATAGAATTAGTAACACAATCATTTTAGCTATGTTAAGTGTATATATACAAATTTTTATATTTTTTCTTTTCCCTTTATTCTTTTCTCTTTTTTCCCATCTGAGTTATTTTTCCCCTTTCAGGAGTTTCTTATCCTTTGATAGTATTTATTGAAGATTTTTGTATCTTATTTACGCTTGCTGTTTTTACACTAGGGAGACAATATGGTATTTACAAATGTGAGTTTGATTTATTTTACTTGAGTATGGTCTTGAATTGCATCCATTTACTTATAAATATCTTAGTGTGATCCTTCTTTATAGGAGAGTAGTACTCCACTGTATAAAAATACCACATCTTTTTTATCCATTCCTTAGTTGATGGGCATTTAGGTTGTTTCCAAGATCTGGCTATTAAAAATTGTGCTGCTATAAACATGGGTGCACATACATCACTGTAGTATGATATTTTCAGTTCTTCTGGGAATATGACCAGAAGTGGAATAGCTGGTTCAAATGGGACCTCCAATCCCAGCTTTTTGAGGAACCTCCAGACTGACTCCAAAGAGGTTGTACCAGTCTGCATTCCTACCAACAGTGCAAAAGAGTTCCTTTTTCCCACAGCCTCACCAGCATTTGTTGTTGGTAGTTTTCTTGATCCTGGTCATTCTTCCTGGAGTGAGATGGAATCTCAGTGTTGTTTTAATTTGCATTTCTCTAATGACCAATGATGCTGAACATTTTTTCATGTATTTATTTGCCATTTGTATTTCTTTATCTGAGAACTGTGTATTCATCTCAGATGCCCATTTTTGGATTGGGTCTTTGAATTTTGGGGTCTGATTTATTTATTTATTTATTTTTACTTTTTTATATGTTCTAGATAGAAGTCCTTTTTCTGAGGGACAGTTGACTAAGATTTATTTACCCCATATTTTTGGGTTTTCTTTTCACTCTGTTGGAAATTTCTTTTGACATGCGAAAACTTTCATAAGAGGAGATCCCAGTTGTTAATTCTGGGGAGTATTTCCTGTGCAGTTTAATTTTTGTTCATGAATTGTCTGCCTACCCTTATGTTTTCAAGATTTCTACCTACTTTGTCTTCCATCAGATTTAGTGTTTCTGTTTTAATATTTAGATCTTTGATCCATTTTGACTTTAGTTTAGTGCATGGTGACAGGCATGGGTTTAGTTTTAGTTTTTGGCATATGGAGAGCCAGGTTTTCCAGCACTGCTTATTAAAGAGGGTATCTTTCTTCCAGTGAACATGTTTGGCCCCTTTGTCAAAGATAAGGTGACTGAGTATGTTTGTAGTTGTGGTTGTATCTCCTGATCTATTCCATTGATCTTCATGTCTGTTTTTATTCTAGTACCATCCTGATTTTATTATAGTAGCTGTGTAGTATAACTTCAAGTCAGGAATTATGATATCTCCTGCTTTGCCTTTGTTGCCCAGAATTGCCTTTGCTATTCTAGGTCTCTTGTAGAGATTTAGCTAGATTATGTTCCTGTACACATGGGTTTTGTTGGATGTGGTGGTACATTCCTGCTATCCCAGCACCCAGGAGGCTCAGGTAGGTGGATTATCATGAGTTAGTGGCCAGACTGAAGCACACAATGTGTTTAAGGCCAGCCTTAAATACATAGTATCACTGCAAAGTGATTTCTTTAACTTTTTTTGGGAAGATCCCTAGAAGGGGAATAACTGGATTAATTGGAATTTCTGATTTTAGTCTTTTGAGAAATCTGTACATAAGGGCCATACTTACTATACTAGTTTACATTCCCACCACCAATATAGAAAGATTAGTTTTTTGTCAACCTTGCCAGCATTTCTTACTTTTTTTTTTCATTTCTTACTTTTTTAAGTTTGTGATAGGAATTCTTTGTGACATATGATAGAATCTCAGCGTTGTTTTGATTTGCATTTTTGCAAAGATATTGAACAATTTTTCATGTACTTATTGACAATTTGTACTTCTGGGAATTTGTCTATTCATTTCAATTGCTTATTTTTTTATTGGGTCATTTATTTGGGGGGATAGTCTGATTATTTTAAATTCTTGATATGTATTTTAGTTGTTAGTCCTCTGAGGAATAGCTGGCAAAATATATTTCTCGTTCTGTAAGTTTTCTCTTCACTCTGCTGTCTCTTTGCTGTACAGAAGTTTTTAAATTTGTTATTATACCATTTTGTTTATTATTGGTGTTACATCTTGTACATTGGGGTTCTGTTCAGAAAGTCTTTGCCTATTCCTATGTTTTCAAGAGTCATGCCTATTTGATCTTTCAGCTGATTCAGTGTTTCTGTTGTAATGTTTAAGAAATTGGTACATTTGATTTTATTGCATTACATCATAGGAGACACAGGTCTAGGTTCATCCTTCTGCATGTGGGTAACCAGTTTTCCCACCATCATTTGTTAAAGAGTTTGTCTTTTCTCCAGTGTATGTTTTTGACCCCTTTGTCAAAAATCAGGTGACTGAATGTCCCTCAGGTTGTTTCTGCATTCTCTATTTTGTTCACTGTTGCTTTATAATATAATTTAAAACCTAGGATTTTGGATTTTGAAACCTGTTGTGCTATCATTGCCCAGGATTGCTTTTGTTATTCTGGTTCTCTTCTGGCTCCAGATAAATTTTAGGATTGTTTTTTCTAGTACATATTTTGATTGCAATTATGTTAAATTTAAATATCAGTTTTGGTGATATAGCCATTTTGATAATACTGGCTTTGTCTAGCCAGAAACAGGGGGATGTCTTTCCATTTTCTGGTATTGTCTTCAATCTCAATAGATTTTTTTTTGGTACTGGGAATCAAACTCATGACTTTGTACTTGCCAGATGAGCGCTTACACCGCTGAGCTAAATCCCCAGCTGGTATTAGATTTTTTTTTTTTAAATGCTATTGTGAATGGAATTGTTTGCCTAATTTCTTTCATTGTGGATTCATTGTTGGTGTACAGGAACACTATTGATTTTTATATATTTATTTTGTATCCTGCTATTTTGCTGAATTTATTCTAAGGATCTTTCAGTACAGATTTTATTTTATTTTATTTTGTTTTGTGACAGGATCTCATTGTGTAGTACAGGCTGGCCTCAAACTCATAGCTGTCTTTTGCTCAGCCTGAGTGCTGGGATGATAGGCTTTCACCATTTTGTCTAGCCTTGTTCCTGATTTCTGAGAAAAACAGCTTTCAGTATTTCCTTATTAAGCGTGATGTTGGCAGTGGGTTTGTGATATAAATGGCTTTTATCATTAATTTGAGTTAAGGTATTTCTAGAATGATTTTTGTGAGGTTTCTTTTTATCATGAACAGATGTTAGATTTTATCAAAGGCTTTTTCTGCATCTACTGTGATGATCATGTGAGTTTTGTCCTTGTTTCTCTCTGTATGATGTATTACATTCATTGACTTACGTATATTGAACCATCCATGCGTCCCTGGCATGAAGCTAATTTGGTTATGACATATGATGTTTTCAATGATTTGCTGCATTGTTTACCAGCATCTTATTGAGCCTTTTTGTGTCTGTGTTCATTAAGGAGTCTGGCCTGCAGTTTTCTTGTTAATGTGCTTGTCCTGTTTTGGTATGAGTAATGCTAGCTTCCAGGAATAAGTTTGGCTGTACTCCTTTCGTTTCAGTTTCACCGAAGAGTTTGAGGAATACTGGAGATAGATGTTCCCTGAAGCTTTGGTGGAAGTCTGTAGCAAATCCATTGCGTCCTGAGCTTTTCTTTATTGGTAGAATTTTTATTACTGGCTCTATTTTGTTGCCTATTTTTGGCCTATTCAGAATTTCTGTATCTTTTTGATTAAATGTTGGTAATTCAATATATATCTAGGAATTTCTCCATTTCTTCTAGGTTCCCCAAGTTACTGGAATGTGTTTTTGTAGTACTTATAAATCCTTGTATTTTGGCAGTGTCTGTTGTAATTTCATCTATTTCATTTCTAATTACATTGATATAGGTCTTTTTCTTTCCTTTTTGACATAAGTTTGGCTAAGGGTTTATCAATTTTGTTTATCCTTTCAAAGAAGAAACTAATTCATTGAACCTTTGTAATGTTTTTGGTTTTTTGGTACTGGGGATCAAACTCATGAACTTGAGCTTGCCAAGCAGGCGCTTGTGCCGCTGAGCTATATCCTCAGCTCTCTGTTCTGATCTTTATAATTTCTTTTCTTGATTAATTTCAGCATCGGTTTGTTGTTTTTCTAGGGCTTTGAGATATATCATTTGTTTATTTATATAGGATTACTCAATTCTTTTTTCTTTTTAAGACACGTTCTTGCTTTGTAGTTCAGGCTGGCCTTGGATTTGCAGCAGTCCTCCTGCCTCAGCCTCTTAAGTACTGGAATTACAAGCATGCCCCACCACAGCTGGCTCAGTTCTTCTAATGTATGCATTCACAGTTACACACTTTCTTCTGTGTCCTATAAATTTTGGTGTGTGTGCGTTCATCATCATTTGATTCTAAGAACCTTTTTATTTATGTGATCCCTTGATCATTCAGTAACATATTTTTAAATTTCCATGTATTTGTATAATTTTTGTGGTTTCTTCTGATATGTTTTTTCTTTCTCTTTCTTTCTTTCTTTCTTTTTCTTTTCTTTTCTCTTTTCTTTTCTTTCTTTCTTTTCCCTTGTGCAGGCTGATTTAGATTTCTAACTTCATTGCACTATGATTCAGTGGTATGCAGGAGACTAATTCCATTCATTTGTATTTATTTAGGCGTGGTTTATGACCTAAGACCATGGTCTTTTTTGGAAAAAAAGTTCTGTGTACTGCTGAGAAAAATATGTATTGGGTTGCTTTTGAATGAAATACTCTGTACATTTGTTAAGTTCATTTGTTCAATAATGTGGTTTAATTTGGATATTTTTTGTTAATTTTTTGTCTAGTTGACATAATTGTAAGAATAGAATGTTGAAGTCCCTGCTATGATTGTGTTGGTGTCTGTCTGTCCTTTTATGTCCAGTAAAGTTTTGTTTTATAAAGTTGGCTTTGTCAACATTTAGTGTATAGATATTTATAATTATACTCTCTTCCTGTTGAATTGTTCCCTTTACTAGTGTATAGTAGCCATCTTTTTCTCTTCTGACCAGTTTTGCCTTCAGGTCTGTTGTGTCTGAAATTAAAGTATCTACTCTTGCTTTCACTCAGTTGCTGGTTGCGTGTAGAATCATTTTCTATCTTTTCACTATAGCCTGTTAGTGTCTATTTGGAGAGATGTGCCTCTTGTAGGCAGCATATGACTGCATTTTGTTTTTTGATCCAATCTGCCAGTCTATATCTTTTGATTGGGGAGTTAAGACCATTGACATGGAGAGTTATTTTTGTAAAGTGTACCCTGTCATTGCATTCCTTTTTTTTTTTTTTTTTTTTGGTCTTTGTGGGACAGTGTCTTGTTATGTAGTTCAGGCTGGCCTTGAGCTCACTTTCAGGCTGATCTTGAACTTGGAACAATCCTCCAGCTTCTGCCTACTGAGTGTACTTTGCATTATTTTTGAAGTGCAGGTTTTTTTTTTCCTTTTATTGAACTACTCTCCTAGTTAGATGTATGCTTTCCTTTGATGTTAGGGGCATTTCTGTCTAGGATTATTAGAACATTCCTATCTTTTATTGTGGATATCATTGACCTTTTTTAAGTTATTAAATCATAAAGAAATTCATAAGTAGGAATCATTTTTTAGATTGAAGGATAGGATTCCAGAAGACCTGGGTTGTCAGGCCAGCTCTATCTGTTGAGAAAGCATGTGGGCTCAGAATATTTTTTTCTCTCCTCATGGGATCTGTATTAGGCAGCTTTCCCACTACTGGTATACACTGCCAACACCCACAACTTAAAGGAGAGATTTAAGGTGCTCAAGGTCCAGGAGCTGCAATCCATGGTCAGCGAGCTCTAAGGCAGAACACATCATAGTGGGAGGGTGTGGTGGAGCAAGGATGCTCAGTCACAATGGCTGGGAAGCAGAGAAGGGAACTCCACCTGAGGGCAAGAGATAAGGGATCAGATGTAGACCCATGCCTCTGTGACCCATCCAGACATGCGGTCTTCCAATCCCTGGGGAAGATCCTAAAGCAAACTGAGACTCTACCCTACCCCACCACAGGAACTTCAATGCCAGAAGAATCTTGAAAGATAGATGGTAGTAGAATGGTAGGCAGGGTTTTTTAATTTGTTTTGGTCCTGGAGATCAAACTCATGACCTCACTGTTGCCAGACAGCTGCTGTGCCACTGAGCTATATCCCTGGCCTGAATGGTAGACAATTTGTTTTATTTATGAAGTAGAATAAGGTTGATATTTAGTCCTTTTTTTATTTTGTGGTGCTAAGGTGATTGAGCTGTTATCTCCAGCCCAATGCTTTTTCTTTTTGTTACTGACTTTGTTGTCAGTACTAAATTAGGGTCTTGAGTTTGTTTTTACGTGGTGATATCAATACTTCCATCTTTATTTACAGAGGACCCTAAGGGATTGGTGACTTGTTGCTTTTGATGACATGTCAACAGTAAACATCATATGTCCAAATATATTATGACCTCATATGTAAAGAAATTAATCCTTTACCAGTGAAGACCCCAAGGAAAAGGTTTTTGACAGATGTAAATAACTACTCAGGGATGTAACTGAAAGTCAAATATTTACTTAAAATATGTATTAGTTTAAATATAAATATATATGTATTTTAAAATAATGTTTAGTTTAGTGGTAATAGTTGTGTAGCATTTGTGAGGCTCTGGGTTGGATTCCAGCACTGAAAAAAAAGTGAAAAAACAAATCACATATTACATATATTAATATTGAGACCATTTTGGAAAATTATGTAAACTTTTTAAGTTCTTGTCATCACTAATAGAAATCTGTATCTTTTCATTACTTGAGCATAATATTTTCACATCTGTCCAAATTGCCTGAGATACTTTGTTTGATTCTATATCTAATGCTGTTACTGGAACTTTTATATAAAGCCACAAGTGCCGTACATTGTATTTGTGGTCATGATCGTGTAATCCCTTTTTTAGACAAAGTCTCACTATGTATTTCAGGCTGCACATTGTGTAGCCCAGGCTGGTCTCAAACTCATAGCAGTCCTCTTGGCTCAGCCTGAGGAGTGCTGGTATTACAGGCATGTGCCACTACACCCAGCTTCTCTATTATCAAGTAGAATATTGCTGGTTATTTGGGTGGGGGGGGGGCGCGGAGTTGAGACAGGGTCTTGATGTGTCGTCCAGGCTGGCCTCAAACTCATGGTGATCCTTCTACCTCAGCCTCCTGAGTGCTGGGATTACAGACATGAGCCATCACACCTGGCAGAATAATAAATTTTTTTTAGAGCATGAGTAGTGTTATAGGTAACATATACACCTGAAGTTACAAACTTGGTTATTTAGCTTCACCTTTTAGAAAATCAAATTGTTAGATGATCTCTGTAGGCACTGCAAACTGGGTATTATGCTGTTAAATGAGTAACTAGTACTCTAGTAACTATAAGAGCAATATATTTGAGCCTTTATTTGTGATTAATCACTGGAATGGAAGTTTTCACCCAATTCAGGTATTTTTTTAGCCTGAGTGTTTCATCTCTTATGAAGAACTGTGCAGTGTAATAATGCTATATGGACGCAGTGGTTTTTACTAATTTACTTTGTCTCTTTACAGAGGACAGCAGTTTGCTCAGCAGATACAACAACAAAATCCTGAACTTATAGAGCAACTGAGAAATCACATCCGGAGCAGATCATTCAGCAGCAGCACTGAAGAACATTCCTGACTTGATCAGGGATGTTAGCCCAGAATGAAAATGGTTTATGGCTATGACGTATTCTGTGTAGATAGTAGCCAAAAACAAAACAAAACGCATCAAAATAATGGCAGAAAACCTCGTGTGTATTCTTAAAGAACAAATTTGTTTTAGAAAATAGGTTTATCACAGAGAGACTGGAATATGACTCCTTTTGGAAATGAATGCTCACTAGCCTTGTTAAGTGCCAGTACCACACTTGGACAAGGCTCCATCCATTTCCAATCTTTTATCATATTTGTACATTATACTTAATAGCAGAGTATATTTATTAAATTGTAGTACTGTTTATTGGTGAGTTTTTTAGTTCCAAGTTCTCCTAAGTAAAGCTGTTTTGAGAGGGGAGATAAAGGGAAAGGTTTGCCATACTGGTTCAGAGGAAATACGAGCAACATGTCAGGAGACAAGAAACATTATTTTAGTTTAGCTTTGATAAGGGATATATATATTCAACAGTGAATATATATCAGAGGTGCCAGTACTATCTTTAATGCTCCTTATTCTGATGAGTGACAGGGAATCTTAAGGGCTGGTGGAATTTAGTGCAGTGGATATTTTGAAGAGGAAAAATAGAGAATGTGAATGTATAGGAAGTAAAAATAGAATGCTCAGGTTTCTGCATAGTTCTAAGTAAACTTGTCTGTTTAGTTTTGATAACATTAGCATGGCTAGTTATGCTAAGTACGTAATAAAATACATTTAGAAGTCCTTAATGGTACTGGTTAGGTCAATGATATAACTATTTAATTAATTACCACAATTTCCCTGGTTGAAAACTTACCTCAGAAACTACCAAATATATCTAATAAGCACATAAAGTCAATGGCTTGACTCTAAGTTAAGGATATTCTAAGTGGAATTTAATTATGTATCTATTAACGATTTAAAAAACATAATTATTTGGTGGAAACAAAAACATCACTAACATTATTCATTTGTATACTCTTCTGGTATAATTTAGTGCAGTGTACCAACCTTGTGCTTAACCTTAATTTGGTGCAATTTAAACATGGGGTTTACAATACTTTATTATGAATTAGATGTCATTGGTTAGTAGAGGGAAATGGCATGACTCAAAGAACAATGATGGATGAGATCTAATTTTGGGGGGGGGTCATTTTGAGACAGGGTCTTGCTATGCAGTTCAGGCTGGCCTTGAACTCACTTTGTAGCCCAGGCTGGTCTTGAACTTGCAAGGATCCTTCTGCCTCAACCTCCCCACCTGCTGGAATTACAGATCTGTGCCACCATGCCCAGCTCGAGATCTAATTTCAACTGAAACTTCTTGGTTGTTAATCATGAAACTGGTGAAGTGAGACTGATATGTAATGATTTTACAAGTGTTGTGAGGGAAAACTGAAAAAGTAATTTAAAATTAAATCAGTAAGGGCTGGGGGTTTAGCTCAGTGGCGTAAGTGCCTGCTTGGCTAGGTTGAGGTCGTGAGTTCAGTCCCTGTTAAAAAAACCAACAAACAAAAAAAATCAGTAAAGATGTAAGGGTCATACTCTATTTTCAAAAGCCTATTTGGTATCTTGAAAATTTAAAACCTAACCTTTTCTTTCTTTCCCTTAGTGAGATTAGAACAATGGTTAGAATTCATTACAAAATGCAGTTTCAAGGCCACACCTTCAATTTCGATTGAGTAGGTGTTGCATTAAAATTTAGGAATCACTTTTTCCAAAGGAAGAAGTATACTGAAGAGTGAAGCCAGGGGTGCCTTATCCCTGAGCTACATCTCAGGCTTTTAATTTTGATATAAGATCTTGTTAAATTGCCCAGTCTGGCCTTGAACTTGTGATCCTCCTGCATTAGCTTCCTGAATATCTGGAATTACAGGTGTGCACCACGATGCTTATATAAATCATTTTAAGGATTCTACAGTGTGGTTCTGATGTAGATTCAAGGGCTTAAATAAATTTATTTGTTTGTTTATTTGAACAGGTCTTGCTTAGTTCAGGCTGGCCTAAAACTTGTGGCAATCCTGCTTCAGTCTTCCAAATGCTGGGATTACAGGAATGTGCCACCATGCCCGGCAAGAGCTTGCATTTAGAGCAACACTAGAGGTTTCTCTCTAGCTAGACCAGCAAATGTCTAAGTACCTAGGCTCAGGCTAAAATGAAGATGTATATTAGCATATGGATCTGCCCAGAGAAGACAGGACTTAAATCTGAGGCCTTCTGAAATTTAAACTGTCTTAATTTGCATGAATTTACATTTAGCTTAGTGTTTTAACTGTTACTAGTACAACAAAGTACTAGTCACATTAAAGTTACTACTGTGATAAAAGCAAAGTTGGCCTTTAACTGATAATTAGTAATTATTCTTACCTAATTTAAGAAATTAGCATTTTTAGTACAGTTATTTTGAATTCGTTAAAAATGCTTCAGAGCTCAGCACAGTGGTGCATGCCTACTACTCGGGGAGCCTGAGGCAGAAAGATCATTAAAAGTTTGAGCCAAGCCTGGGTAATCTAAGACAAGACTTAGATCTTGTCTCAAAATAAAAATGGGCTATAGATGTAATGCAGTGACCCTTGGGTTCAGGGCCCACTAATCCCCCCCCCCCCAGCTTATCAGTAAAATGATAAGCTTCTAGTTGACTGATGAGAAAAATAAAAAATACAGATTAACAGTATCAGAGATGAAAGAATGACTGGGGATAAAGTGATAGTGCATTTGCCTAGCATGTATGAGATGTGGGGTTTGATTCCCAATACCATTTTTTAAAAAGGAACAAATAGATATACTACACATCTCTAGACATTAAAAGCATAATTACAGTGGTCACTTTGAGAGCACACATACTAAAAAGGAAAACCATAATTAGAAGCACTACTACTAACTAGATCTATATGTTCAACAACTTAGAAGAAACAGACCAATGCTTTCTAGGATACAAATAACCAAAGTTCACTGAAGATAGAGAGACCTGAACAGGTCTATTACACTGAAAAATTGAATTTGTAACTTACAGTTAACAACCTTCCAAAAAAATACAGTTACAAGCCCAGATGACTTCAGTGATGAATTCTACCAAATACTTAAGGAAGAAATATCAGTTCTATATAATCTGTTCCAGAAAACAGAAGAGGGAAACATTTCCCAACTCAGTTTATTTGGCCAGATAACAAAACTCAGACATTTAAAGAAAAAAAACAAAAAACAAAAAACAAAAAAAACCACTTTAAACCATTGTCTTTGTGTGTTACTATCCATACAGTTAGCCATTCTTTTTACCTGAATAATGGGAACTGGTGTATTTCTTCCCTTTCGCTTTTCTAATTGTTTCTTTGGGAATACACCAACTCTGATGAATTCAACTCAGATAATACCTCCACCTACATAGACTTCTATTACATTTAAGCCATTTTTATCCTTCAGGTCCCTTCGTCACACTGGAGTCATTGCATTGCAAGCTATTCCATGAACGTTTTGATTGGTCTGTACTAGCCCCTCTTCAGATTACAGAATGCCCTCAATATCATTCTTTCTCGTGTAGAAAATATAGTTGCTATCAACAAGAAATAAGAAGGCATTAAAGTAAGCTTTTATATATCTTTTAATTAGAATGTATGACTTCATTAACTGCATTTCATTGTAGTAGCTGTAGCTCTTCTGTAAAACTGAATGTGTCCTTTTTATGCAAATGACATTTGTATTTAATGTACCAAACTGTTAATCTAATTTTTATAATATATACAAATCCTGTCAAAGATGGCATTATCTAACCTTTAAAGTATGAACCATATGTGTCTAGTTTATTGTTTGTAAAGAGAAGAGACTTTGTAACTAAATCAAAGTATTCAGCAGACTCTTTAAGTGACCATTATTTATTACTTTTACAATTTGAAAGAGTGAAATAGGTTCAATCATGAGAAGATGCTTGAAAAACAAAGTGCCCAGTGCTGTGACTGTAACTTTTATTTCATCATTTAATCAATCAGTCATTTTGAATGAATGACATACTTCAATTTTACACTGCTTGCACTTTATTTTGAACAGACATTTCATTAATTATTACTCTGGTTTGAGGGGCAACCCTTCTGACTATAGCTTTCTGTCTGGACCAAACAGTTTGTCATGGCAATAAATAATTATGTATTTAAGAAAAAACAGTTTTGTATTTGATTTATTGTACTCCTCATTTAGGAAATGATACATTCTTAGTTCAGCGAAACAGATTTCATAAACTTTTGTTTTCCTGATAAAATAGTGAAACACTGTTACATCCATGTTGCACAGCTATTTACAACCTTAACTCTTTTGTTTATGGGTAAATAGATATGATTACATGAGAGATAAAAAGTTTTATAATATTAACAAGATTTAGAATTCAAAATCAATTATTAGAAGATTGGAGTTTATGTTATGAAAATAAGGAGCTTCGTTTTCAAGGAGAAAGCCTGGTGCTATAAGATTAAAATTAGAAAATTATTAGGCATCTCAGTTAAAAGCTAGCTGAGTAGTCAATAACCTAAGAAACAAACCACTTCTGATCTGCTCATAGCTGAAAGTTAGTCACATGCCAACACAATAATTTTGAAAATGAATAGAAAATACTGTGTTAGCAAACAACCAGGTTACAGAAGGACTATTCTAGTTTTTAATAGATCGTTTCTGTTGATTAGGGAAAAAATCTGAAGTTCTTGGAAACTGTATTTGGAAATTTTCCCAAATACAAGTATTAATAAATTCTAAAGTTCTAAGAAACAACTGTATTTTCTAAATTGAAGTCACCAAACCAGGGTTCTATCCAGGTACTTTTTTTGTAAACACCATTACATTTTTTTGCCTAGCTGTGTTGTGGAAAATGTCTAAGTTCATGATTTGCCTACAAAACCCTAAGATATTTGGTATCTTGACCATTTACAAAAGAAGTGTGTTTTAGACACTTGCTAGGAACAGACTTTAAAGTTGGTCATCTAAAATGAAATTACATAAAAAATACAGAAATGTTCACTCAGAATATTAACTTGATAAAATCCATACTTTTCAAACATTTAATATTTTACATGTTTTTCAGGCAAGAAATTTAAATTATATTTGCTACTGATGTGATCATTTCACAAAGGTCATAAAAATATAGACATAAAGCAGTTATCTGAAACTAAATGAAAACATCACATTGGAAATTTTCATTAGCTTTCCACTTGGATGGCTGAAGAGACCACACAGACTTGTGCGATGTCATCGTATTCATATGTTCTCTTCAGGAACGTGTCTGTCAGTCTCAAGCCGGAGACACTCTATTGAGACAAAAATATGGGCTTCAATTTTCATTCATTGGTAATTAGCTCTAATGAAGACCATCAGTCAGCACAAGGCTGGAGAGCAGCTTACCTGCAGCCCCTGCACTGAGGACAGCAGAGTCAGCGCAAGGCCAAGGGAGGCGCTGGGGAGCAGCTTTCCCAGCTGCCTTCCCGAAACACCGCACCAGTGCACAGAGCTGGTGTCGCACATCTCCAGCACCAGATCCATCGTCCTTTCACTGCCGAGTAATCAGAAAAACAGGAATACATCTTGTGGATTGCACAGCGAGATACTGTAGTATTTAACTTTTTTCATTAAATTTGTTTTCTGACTGCATAGGAGAATAAAAGTGATTAGACTGAAAAGCTATTCATCATTTTCATTTCACCTAAGAGTTCCGAAAGGAAAGGAGATGGCATCTCTTAGGACTCAAAATGGGTTTAGACTAATTTGCTTGCAGGAGATAAGTTTTCTGGTTCTTTAATGAATGCTGGCTCCTTAGTTGCTGGGTTGTTAATGGCTTTGCCAGATCTGGAAAACTTACGGACACTGTATCTTTGTTGCTATATATCTTTACCGTTTCTATTTTCTCCTTTAGGGCAGAAAAAAACAAACTGAGCCTGTTCTAGTTCTTTCAATAATTTTTGTTCCTTGACCATGCAGGTACCTTAGAAAATTACAAGATTTATAAGATTATAAATACTATTCATACTGCTCATTGTTGTTACTCAATGCAAGGAAAGTTTTCTGCTTTTAACAGGTGCCACTACTATAGCTTAAACAGGTAAAGTCTTAAAAAGTTTTAATGCAAGTATGCCAAGAGGCTGACGATAAAGGGAGATAATCTCTCACTCTATCACCATATATGGCTTACTTTCAGCTCTTTTAGTTGTTTCCTCATAGTTGGCTCCATATATTAAAATACTTAATTTACTGACTTCTTAGACATATTGACTTTAAACTAGCTTTTTATGTCTCTATTTCCTTAACAAACATTTGAAATACTTATGTAACAAAATCAGATAAGACATGCTACATAACATTTCTCATTAAATTTCATAAAAACGCATTAAGCTCTATATATGTTGTATATAGGCTGTGCCTATGTTTCTGTTGTATTGGGGATGCCATGTTTTTATACATAAAGAAACTGAAGATGTAAATGCTTTTAGAAACATCCTTGAATCACCAAAAGTTAAAGTGAGCACTCTAAGAAATAAATCTTTAAAATTTAATAGTACATTGTCATTTGGCCAATAAACAGATTTGTATACTTGAAAAATTATAAAACATCCCTACTACACCCAGAATACACAATATCTTTGCCTTGAACAACTTGTTTACTGAGTTCTTCTAAAGTGCCAGGTGGCCAACGTCCCTTTTGAATAAATCATAATCCATTGACAAAGAAACTAAAAATTACAGCAATACATGGGTATTACTAAAAAACTAAATTAAAATTAGCTGTCACAAAGGACTGATTGATTATGGTTGGGAGAGGCTAGGTAGCTTCATAGAAGTAGATATTTCTATAATTCTGAAAGATGAATGTTTCCTATTTCTCCAATGGCAAAAAGTTGGAATGGATATAGAATTAAAAGGATTACATATTCATTCTCTGAGAGTTGGGATTCATCATTGTAATATCATCAAATACCCCAGCTAATACTCTACATCAAATGTAATATATAGTAGCAAAAGTGATAGGTGAGATTGGGATTTAATTCTAGATTTTCCTTAATTGAAAGCCTATAGTCTTTGTTTCCCAAGAGGTAGACTATGTTCCCCCTTTACTTCCAACCTATCATTATCCCCTTATGTTAAATTCATTAGACAAGTTTTGATTTCTTAATATGAAATACTGCTCAGGTCTACGTATACCCCAGGAAAATCTACCTTACTACTTTAAATCTATTATCACTATAAAAGAATCAGTTCATGTTTTAGTTATCTGAAGTGTGAAGGACTTAGAAATGAAAAGAACACGGACTTAGGAATATCAAGTACATTTGGTTTCAACTTCTGGTCCCATCTTTTCTTGCTCTCTGAGCTTGAGAAAGTCACTTAAACTCACTGAGTTGGCTTTCTATTCCAAAAATGTGAATAATTAAAACCTATCACATAAGGTCTGGTAAATAAAAATACAGAAAATGCCTAAAATCATCTTCAAAAATACTTCATACACAGATAAAGAAATTTGCAGAATTTCACCAACATCAGAGAAGACTATAAGAGGAAATTTAAAAAGAATATTTCAAAGATAAAAGTTCTTTTCTGGGTTGAACACCCACCTATAAACCCTGGCATTACCTGCAGTTTGTTATTTTACAAGTAATATGGAAAGGTTCTTCTAGGTTTACGGTGTCTGGGATTGCCTCCAAAGACAGCCTAACGTCTCCATAACCTGGAGCCTAAAGAAACAAGCAACATAGTTAAAATATATTTATTATAAAATCTTTCTATCTTAATGAAGGTACCACATCAACACATTCACTCCATTAGACATGGGTTGGCAAGTTGATGTTCTGAGAAAATACTTGATTCATTCTTCCCTTCCTTCACTCTAGCCTCTTTCTGTTACTATCTGTAGGACACCGTGTAGATTTGGATTGTTTTTGTTATAATTACTCAAGTTTCAGAAGAATTAAGAGGAATCTTGTAAGCAATCAGTAATAAATTATAGGGGATCAAATCTTTTTCTTTTAGTGATTCTGAAGCTTCTACATACACAAATGTAAATGTGCAGTGCCTCGAGGCACAGAGCTTACTGTGAAATGAGCAAAGAAGAAAAGAAGGTCTTGCCAGGGATTTAGTTCAGTGGCATAAGTGCCTGCCTTGCAAGCACAGGGGTCATGAGTTTGATTCCTGGTACCAAAAAAAAAAGAAAAAAAAAAAAGAAAAGAAAAGAAGATCTTTCCATAAGACATTAATGGGCAAGGATAGACTAGAAACTCCAAAGTTTACAACATGCCATGGCAGAATGATAACTAATTAATATATTTGAAAGTAGGTTTAATGATCATCATCATCGTTTAAAAAAAAATGTTGCCTCAAGCAGAAAATAAATTTTAGAGCTGGGCATGGTGGTGCACACATATAATCCCAGTACTCAGAAGCTGAGGCAGGAGGATCGCCAAGAATTTGAGGCCAGCCTGGGCTACACCATGAGTTCAAGGTCACCCTGAACTACATACTGAGACCCTGTCTTAAAAAAAAAAAAAATCTTTTTAAAAAAGAGTATGTAAGAACAGATAATATTCATTATCAAAGGAGAATCCTGAAGAAAATTCTCGCTAGCACAGGAAATAAAGTTCCTTCTTAGGGAGTTAATTAGGTAAAATATCCAACCAATACTTACACAACATCTTTAGTGTAGCTCACCTGAGTTTTGGATGCATCAGATTTTTTATTTTATTTTTGGGGGATAGGGCCTACCGTGCAGTTCAGGGTGGCCTTGAACTTATTATGTAGCCCAGGATAGCCTTAAACTTGTGGCAATCCTCCTGCCTCAGCCTTCTAAGTGCTGGTATTACAGGCATGTGCCACCACATCTGGCCATATTCTTAACATTAAAAAAAGAAATGCACACCTTTTGTGAGAAACCAGTCGATTCACAGGAACTGTATTGTTTGATTTTCCAAGAAGAAAGCTGGTAGTCTGAGCAAGTATTTAGAGGACAACCATATGCAATATAGTAACTATATTTCCCACTAATGTTTCTATTATTTTATTCTGCATTATGCCTTTTAAATGAAATTTAAAAAAAAAAGAAATGCATAAACAGTAGATGAACACATGGAGTCCAAGCATTCAGAACATTGCAAAAAAGAAGATCTTAATCCAACTCAAGTCAGATACAGTGAGAACAAAAGGAAGGAACAATTGACAAGTTAAAAACAATGTAGTAAGGATGTATTAACATTTGAACATTTTTCATACATTGCAGTACCAGTTTACTACCTAGAGATAATTGAAACTATTAGTCCATTCTTCTCTTGTCATATTGGTGCCAGAGATTTAGTGACAGACCTAGGGACATTTAAATTGCTTTAAATGGCTCCTCACAACATACAAAGAAACCTCCGAGATTTTTCAGACTCACCATTCTTTGAAGTTGGCTGGTTTGTAACCGTCCCCTTTCACCTAGGTTTGTTTTCCATACTATATCCAATTTTCCGATTACTGTTACTCCTTTAATGATGCCTGCTTTTTCTGCAAACTCCTTCTTGGGTTTTAGGCAATACAAGTACTGGCGTGTATCCATTGGCTGCAGATATGCTCTTGACCCAAATGTAGAGACACTGATAGGGGGAGAGATAGGTGGGTGAAATTCTTGGTCGTCTTTTGAAAGAAAAACCATAGCTGCGATCATTCCTTTTGGATAGAAACTGGTGATTTACTACTCAAAGACCCAGAATAGACAAGGTTAGAAGTTTCAACACAAAAAGGACTTGTACTGAGTACTTGTTTTTTTTTTTTTTCTTTTTCAGTTAACATGTAAGTCTTTTTTTTTTTTTTTTGAGACATGGTCTCACTATGTAATTCGAGCTGGCCTTGAATTCACAATGATTCTCTTGCCTCAGCATCTGTAGCAATGGGATTATAGGCATGTGCCACTGTGCCCGTCTACCTTGGAAAACCTTAGTGTTTTATAATAGAATGAATAAACTGCCTAAAACCTTGGACATGTATCAGGTAAGTGAAAAGTACAATAGGAATCAAAACCTTAAGTATCTTGTCCCTTTTCTCCAAAATTTTAAAATAGGATAAGAAAAGAAATACTTTTTAAAAATGTAGTGGCATGGATTGGATCCAGGGCTTCAGACATGGTAAGGTAACTCTGCTACTATGGAGCTATACCCCCAGCACTGAGAAGTAAATTTAAACTACGTAATCTTTTCAAAATAAACTAGCTGGAAGAGAACACAAAATTGTTGTTTTCCTCAGTAAAGGAGGCTACGGACTTTTTTGTATGTAATTATCATAATAATATAAACTTTTAAATCTTGATTAAGAAAATCAGGCAGTTTCCCTAGCTACTACCCCATCTATACTAATGTTGACACTACATGTATTTGTTCTGCCTTTTCTAAGTTAGCTATAAAAAGGCACAGAATAATTAAAATCCTTTATCTCCCCCCCCTGCACTCTGCGTTTACTATTGTGACAGGATTTCTCTATGTAATACAGTATAGTCTTAAACATGCAATCCTTCTGCCTTAGCCTCCCAAGTGTGGGATTATAGGAGTGTGCCACTATGCCCAGCTTAAAATCATCTATTCCCATGTCTACTTTTTTGCTGAGAGCAGCATTTTGTTTACACTCACACTTTCTAACTTCTCCACCTTCCTTCTTGTTTTTCAATTTTATTATTTACAGGATAAAATGATAGCTTTCAGATTTAACTCACTGATTTATAAGAACTCAAAAAACATGTGCTTTGAATAGTAAAACAAATGCAAAGGGTTATAGCCTTTATTTTTACACAGATGGTGGGATGAATGCACAGAGCTTGGATATTTTTAGGGAAGTAAAACCACTCTTTACAGTCAAAATATATAGTATGTATAAACACATACAATGGACTGAAATTTACAATATGAACTTAAAGTATCAGATGGGCTGGTGGTGCAGGCCTATAAACCCAGAACTCTGGGAGGCTGAGGCAGGACTACAAGTTTAAATCCAGCCTGGGCAGATTAGCAATTTAGAGGGACCCATATTCAAATAGGAAATAGAAAATGGGATGGGGATGTAGCTCAATATGAAAGTTGTGGGTTCAATGCCCTGTACCTCAAAAAAGAGCATCAATATTATCTCATTGCTCAGAGTAAGAGCACTCTTTCATATGAATTTTTCTGTGACTTAACTCTTCTAAAAAATCTAAGTCTGGCTGACGATATAGCTTAGCAGCACAAGTGCCCAGGTCATGAGTTCATGAGTTTGATCTTGGTATCAAAAAAAAAAAAAAAAAAAAAAACTAAATCTTTCCAGGTGTGGTGGCATAATCCTACAATCCCAGCATTCTGGGAGGCTCAGGCAAGAGAATCACAAATTCAAAGTCCTGCCTGGGCAATTTACTGACTTAGTGTCTTGGTTACTTTTTCATTGCTGAGACAAAATATGTAAAACTCAAGGCTAAAGAGGAAAAAGTGTACTGTAGCTCAGTTTGTATTAGTTGTAATTCACAGTTGGTTGGCTCCAAGACATGGCAGAGGGGCATCATAGAAGAGTTCATGTCAGGCAGAAAGCAGCATGTCATGGTTTGTCTATGGCCCCTAGGCCTCAGGTGTTTACATTATGCATCTGTGATTGGTTCACTGTATAGTGCATGGATTGATGGTGTCAGTGCTACACCCCCATGGGGTGAGCCAGGATGTAATGTAATGGCAGGAAGAAGGTGTGTGTCTCTCTTTTGTCGGTTTCTGCGTTGCCATTTGCAGCCGCCATGAACTGTGGCCCAGCCATGCCAGCCTGCCTTACAGCCCACTGAGTATGGGCTGAAACCTCCAAAAACTGTAAGAAATAAACCTTTGCTTTCCCAACTTTGGACTTCAGGTATTTTGTCTCAGCAATGAGTAAAAAGTAAGACACAGCAAGTAGCAACAACGATCTGTTTCTCTCCCTTTTACCCCTTTCTTTTGGGTGGTGCCACCCACACCCACATGGGCCTTTCCATCATCCACAAGCAGAACTGTGTCAAATCAATCAGTGAGTCACTTTAGTAATCACACACCCTAAATCCAAGCATCACACATTGAATTTCAGCATCACACTCTAGATTCAACCACCTCTGAAAAACTCCATTTGTGACCACATGAGGTTTTGGGAAAACATTTAGACACAAGACATAATACCTAGTGAGAACATGACTCAACGTATAAAATTTAATTTAAAAAAAAAGGCTGAGGATGGAGCTCAGTGCAAAGATCCTGACACTGTCGAAAACCAAAACAAAAAAACCCTACTACCACTAAAGAGACCCAAAATTATAAATATTTTAAAAAATAGACTTAAGAATAGTGGAGATTAAAAAAAACATGCATTATAAGTGATATTTACCGTTCTCCAGCTTGGCTCACTGAATTTAATTCAGTTACACTGTACATTATAGATGGCTCCAATGACACTTTCTCCATAAACATGGGTGAGGTTGTAATATTCTGAATTTGTGCTTCAAGAAATACTTCATCGGTCTGAGGATATGAAAAAAAAAAATCCACCAAAATGTGATGGTACTGACAATATTTACCTCAATGTAAAGAAAAATTATTAACCATAAATGTGATTAGTTCATGCCTGAAAATCAAAGTTATCATAATTAATGCAAGAAAAGAAATCTCCCCCTTAACATAATTAATAGGCAAAATCAAGTGTTAGTTAACTGGTACCTTTGTCAAACAATGGATGTGGGATAATGAGAATGTATTTTATACTAATATCCCCAGATGTTTAACTGGAATTTGACTTTAAAAACATCTAAATCAAAAAAAAAAAAAATCTAAATCTTTTAGTAAGGTGCTACAATGAACTTTAGTATGATGAGTATAACTTTATATCAATATCAAGAATTTCAGTGTTAAGATAATTATATATTCATTATAATAATGCACCATAATATGATTTCAACTGTCATATTACTTCAATGTAGTCTAGTGATCACTAATACTATGAATAATTTATAATCTGGTCATTAGTGATTTCTTGGTGTATTTTAAATATATATTCAGGTTTTAAAAAAGAATAAGATACTGGGCATGATGGCACAAGCCTGCAATCGCAACACTGAGGAGACTGAGGAGGCTCACTGTCAGTCTGAGGCCAGCCTTGGGACACCAGTGAGTTCACAGCCAACCTGAACCGAATTATATAGCCAGACTTATCTCAAAAAACAAACACACAGAAAAAGAGTATATGAATTATACCTAATACTCTTAGAGCTCTTAAATCAAGCAAAAATACTTACTAGCTTTAGTGACAGGTTATAAAAATGATGTTACTCAGTAAAAATTCATCTACTAATTTAAGTAATTATTTTTTTATAAATTTTAGGTTCTCTGGTTATATATGCTAAGCTATGTTGTTCTTATGCTATTCGGTATTATTTTCTTTGTACAACTGAAAGAATAACTGCTTTTTTTTAAACAAACCAACAGAAAAAAATGATATACCAGGCATATTTAAGAATTAATTTTTCATATATATTTTTAAAATGTGTGTGTAAATGTATACATAAATGTGTGCATATATGTGTGTGTATATCTATAGGTCTATACACATATAGATATACACAGATAGATAAATAGTGGTACCTGGGTACTCATCGTTAATGCATTCCAGAATTTGTGATGAGTGCCAAAACTCAAACACCTTCTTCTCCCAAAGGAATAATGTAATTATGAATCATTTGTGAAAGCTCCCCAAGTCTTTCACATTTTACTGGGTTAATATTAAGTAATGAGGTTGTTTTGTGATATAAAACTTAGTATGTATTTTTTTTAAAAAAACAATTTTTTACACCGTCAATTGTGGCCCAGTGCCATTTTTTGTTGTCAAATTGTAACAAGTATCAGAACTCAGCCACAGAGTACTGTGGTATGACAGTGTATATATATACACACACACACAGAAATAAATAGAAAATAAACATGACCCAAAACGGGATTTACGGGCTTCTGATACCACTAACGCCATAAAAATGGAAACAGTTTGCAAAAATAGAATGAAGTTATAATTTAGTATGTGCAAAACAGACTCTCAGTGCTCAAATGAAAACAGAAATACAATGATTTATCAAAACAAGATGTCTTTTAAGGCATTACTTTTGTTCAAAAAGTAATTTATATCCCATAAATCCATTGCTTTTAAAAATAATCCACAGACCCACATTTCCATTTAAGAAATATAATTTTCTGCATAAATTTAGGAAGAGCTTGGGTAAAATGAAAGAGAAACAAGCAACATAATGGAAAATCAAGTTAGTTTGAACAGTTAGTAGTAAGTAGTTTGATGTTTGAAAACTCAAGAAAAGAATTTAGTGCTAAGGCTGTTGATGCTGTTATTACACAAAATAAGTAAGCAAATACTTACAGTAAATAGAAAATTGAAAATATAATTTTAGCCAACTTGGAAAAAACTTGCTTTCCTTCTGCATTCATTTATCAAAAGGTCATCTTTATCTGACCTAGAATTAAAACTAAATCTATTGTCTGTGCATTTGAAAATGAATTTTATGGTCTACATAAGCAACTGAAGGGCAGGAGAGTATTCTACAGCAAACTGTTTAAAATCCCAGTTATTTTAAACAAGCTTAACTGCTTCTTTTAAAAACACCTTAAAGAAAAAAACACTAAAACTGTGCATATAAGTGTTTCAGTACAAGTGAAACTTTGATTTTTTTCCACATAAGACAATTGATATAAAAAGTTACTGAAATTATATATTTTTTACTGAATTCTTATAGGTGAGATTCACAACTAACTGTTTTTCCACTATGTTTTGTACATAGATTATTAGGCAGAGCCAAAAAGTGGTAAGTAAGAAAAGCATATAAATTTATAATAAAAAATCAAATTACCACAGAACTGAGGTCACTCTAATGGAAAAATAAAAAAGAATAATTAGAAAAATCAGAGTTAAATGTTAAAGAAAAAGAATAACTTAAAATGCATTTCTGCATTTTTTTTTACTTACTAAACAAGACAGATTAGTAAATAAGAAAGTAGGAAGCAACATAAAGAAATATGACAAATTGCTTTTCTAAAAGGTATGGCTGAATATTCAAAGAGAAGCAAGTAGGTACATTCCACGTCTTACTAATTCTCTAAATTCTTTATGGTAATTCTTCATAAGTGCTCGGAATGGATATATACCATTCCAACATTCAGAACAGACATACATAATTTTTCCTACATTTATATAAAATGGACTCCTTTCTAACCGTATTACAGTTCACTACACCATATTTCCAGAAATGCTGGGCTAGACTACTTTAGACGATTGTGTCTATTCTTTTTGTAGATTTCAGTTAGCCTTTTTACATTTTAATCTACTTATTTATCAAGGGCAGAGTCAAGTGTGTACTCACTAAACTCATAACTGAAAATAATTTTTTGCCTCTGTGTTCTGTTGTCATAGCATGAGTATAAGTAACCATTTGGGATGTGCGTGCACGTGTGTTTATACTGTAGTGATGTCATGTCAATCTTCTCCAATGGATGAAAGTTCTCTGAAGACTTGAGAACATGAATCATGTTTACTGTCAACATATTATTAGCATCATTCAACACATCAAAAACATGTTTGAGATGTATACGAGCATATTAAAAGTTACTTCATGAGCACTACAGCAGAGTGGTGAGCATCACCTATTGATAAAGGCTAGGTTAGTAACTCCTAAAATCTGCCTAAAATGGCTATTTAGGGTTAAGATAATCTACTGCATACTACTGCCTTAACTCTATTTGTTTTCCTGACAGGTAATATTGATAGTCTTAGAGACCCTTTTGGTTTTTAGAAGACAAAACTATTTTAAAAAGTTCAGAATTTTAGTAAGTAGTTTTTAGTTGAAATTTGTGGGCAAATTTTAAGATTATGTTGAAATATAATGTTAACTGGAAAAAGTAATAAAAATGATTACTATGATTATTAAAAATGTTCATATAAATGCATAAAGACTTAAAATATAGATGAATTAATATAAAAATTACTTGATGTGTTGGAGATGTGGATTTTTTTCTTCATGGGTAGCATGTCACTTTGGTGATATTTAACAGTAACTAGCCATTTGAAAGGCTATTTGCAAATCACTCTAAATGTTAGTGTTAACAAAACTAACAATGAATATGTATATGTGCTATACTTTTAACACAGAAAACCTAATGTAGTTTAACATGTTCCTCCTAGGAACCAAATACAAAAAACACCCTCAACAATCCCATTTTCTTTTAAATTTCTTAATATATGTTCTAATATTCTTCCTTCATACTATAAATGAAAGCCTTTCCAGTAAAGTGATAAATTAGACCATTTAAAATTGACCAAAGTAAACAGTTATATTAATCAACAGTATGCTATTAAGAAAAAAGGTAAAATAAAGATATAAAAACATCAAATCTTTAACCATCTAGTAATCTGATGAGGCTGTACTCGCTCATCAAATACGTATGCTCTTCACAATGTAGGTAACACTCCTTGCTGTTTGTTAACTCTGCTTTGGAAGGCCCTCATTGCTGACACCTGTCTGTTTTCACTGTCCATTCCTGCTAGACCACAGTCCATATAGTCTACTTTCTCCTCCATACAGCTTTTATGGATCCAAGCTGTCTTCCCAAGATCTTGTAGTTCATGTTTTTTTATATCACTCTCAAGACTCACTATATAGTATCTTGGGTAGTTTTATTATTATATGCATTTTTCTTTTCTCTCAATAGGTCTTGACTTTCAGGTTAGGTTTCTTAACTTTGACAACTAAGTAACTCTAGTTTAAAAATTTTATAATGAATGAAATCTCAGAATCTTGATGGGTAAAACTACCTATCAAATTTGACACATGACTGCAAATTTCTGATCCTCTGGGTTCAAACAGAAATATAATTGTCTTTCCAAAATACTATGTTTGAATATTTTTGAATTTATCTCTGTGATATGAAAGAAAAATACAATTGTGGGCAATAAAGAGATCTGATTTGCTGGCACTTGGGAGGACAAAGACGATTGTGACTTGGAGTCCAGCAAGTTCAAGGTCATTCTGGTTTTTTTTTTAATTGGTACAGGGGATCGAACTCAAGACCACCTGCTTGCAAGGCAGGTGCTTATGCCACTGAGCTAAATCCCCAGCCCCTCAAGGTCATTCTCGAATATGAAGCATGCCCCATCTTAAAAGACAAAAAGCATAATAAGACCAAACCAAATCTATTTTCTTCAGCTGTAGGATATAGATTTGGAGAAAAAAATCTAAACAATAAATTCTTCTATGTCTGCTTTCTCTTTTTTGTTAAGATACAAGAAAAGATTATCTTTTACTCTAAAAGTGACTTTTTCTCTATTTTTGCCAATGCTGGTTTTCACAGCGAGATTTTCAAGCCATTTAATACTCAATAACCTAATTCTGGCTGGCACATTGACTTCTCAGGAAAAAATTTAATGGACTGAGCTTCACTTGTCACTATTTTTCTGTAAGAATACTCAATCTAAACTTTTTTTTTTTTTTTTTGTCTTTTTCCTTTTTATCGGTACCGGGGATCGAACTCACGACTGCCTGCCTGCAAGGCAGGCGCTTATGCCGCTGAGCTAAATCCCCAGCCCCTCTCAATCTAAACTTACTACTTCAATTCGTGTAATATATAAAAGCACTGTAAAAAATCAATAGTTTTGGGGCTGGGGATTTAGCTCAGCGGCATAAGCACCTGCCTTGTAAGCAGGCAGTCGTGAGTTCAATCCCTGGTACCGATAAAAAGGAAAAAGACAAAAAAAAAAAAAAAAAAAAAATCAATAGTTTTTAAGCAATAACAAAACTGCTAAATGAAAGTTATTTGATGAAAATGGTGAATGCTTCAAAACACTGAGAATAGAAATCAATATACATTGATTATACATAGCTTGAAGATAGCAGATTAAAATGAAATTACTGAAATTTCTTTTAATTGAAATTTTGATTATTTTTACTTCACAATCATATTAGCAATTTACTTCAATAGGAAATAAATGTAATGCCTCATGTTATTAGATCATTAATGTTTAATCTGAAATTGCATTCAGTGCCCAACACTTACCTCTGCATTATAAAATTTAGTTTTCACATCCAATGGTTTGAGAACCTGGACAGATAAAGCAAATTAATCAGGAAATTCCTATTATTTGATTCTTTATTTTTGTTGATTTGTTGCAGATAACAGGTCTAAATTTGTCAAAGCAATTTTCTGACTTGTTAAAAAGAGGGATATACAATATTCTTGGGCAAAAAAGAAATCCCAAATTAATTTTTTAGAAGGCTATCATCATTTCTGGACTGAGTGACAGTTACATGGGTATTTACTTCAAAACATTTTTTAAACATATTCTATATATATATATATATATATATATATATATATATATTTCATAAAAACTTCAAAAAAACAACCAAACATTTTATTTTCTTTTAAAAGGCATTCATATGACTGACATAGCAAAACAATAGCTAAGTTATTGTTCTATCAGAGTACTTTCCCCCCATTTTTACAGCAATGAAAAATATACCAATGTAGCTTTATATCTATATCTACAATTACATCGCTATATGTGGTATTCTTGTATTCTCATCGATACATATATGAGTTGGACCAATAGTTTTTGATGAGCGTTAAATAGTATTTCTTAACATAAAATTGTACCTAAAATCCTAGTGACTTGTGGAGTCCTTCAAAAAAAAATCTTGATTCACTCACCTTGAGAAAATGTCTTTCATTTAAATATTTCTTTAGAAATTTAATAGTATTTATATCCTTTTATCTGGGCTTTACACTCATTCCTGTTCTTCAGTTATGTTTGTTCTGCTACGTTACGAAAATGAGCTATTTCTCAAACTACAGTAAAAATTAATTTCATTTCAAAATGTTACACTGGTGATGATAATTTTTTTAATTATTTAAGTTAATTTAGTCTGGGGCTGGGGATTTAGCTCAGTGGTATAAGCACCTGCCTTGCAAGCAGGAGGTCATGAGTTTGACATCTGGTACCGATAAAAAAAAAAGTTAATTTAGTCTGATCTATTGGATATGGTGAATAATCCCAGCACTTGGGAGGCAGAGGCACGACTGCCAGAATTAGAGGCCAGCTGGGGCTATACAGTGAGTTCAAGACCTGTCTGAATTACATTGCAAGACCCTGCTCAAAAAACCCACATCTCCAAAAAACCCTTTAATTTGGTACTGAATTAGTAGTAATATGAAGATCCCATGTAACTAGACAGGAATAGCTACACTTCCAAAAAAACAAAAGGAATCTAAAAACTATTATCTTGAGGCCTTTATAGGTAAATGGAGGTAACTTGAGAATATCCTCATTAGTGAAATAAACAATACTCACATCAGTAAATATCACATTGTCTCTCTAGTGTAAAAAAACAATAAGAATTGACAGAATAATGGGACCCCAAAAGTATAATAGGTATTGTAAAAGTGAAGGGAAGGAAAATGCTCTAAAGGATATAATGGTATGTATAGTACGAGAGATGCCCATATTTCTATTAGATCATTAAACAGAAGGTTTTGCACTGTTAATGTTTGAGTGTCTAGCCACTTTTTATGCTTTGATTTTGTAACTTTAACAACTATTGTTAAGATGACAATATGTATCAACTAGCGATTTTATGATATTAATTTTTGAATTCTGTATTCTACTTTTTTCTCGTTTTTTTCTATTTTGTTTTTTAAATTTTCTCTTCTCTCTTTAAATAAAATTAAAGAAACTATTACTCATTGTCATATTCAGTACCTGAAATTTGAAGAATTTTCTAAAGTACATTTTTTCTCCACCCTGAGTTGTATAACTCACGGCACATACCAAGCTGAAACAGAAAGATATCTTAATGATTTGCAAACATTTTCAATTTTACTTCTCAATAGTAAATACAACACACTTCAATTCCACTTACAAATGTGGAAAAATTTTTTATCCATGATGTGAAACTGGAGCCAAATGAGATTAGAGCAGAAAAAGAAAAGTTCCACCAGATATAAATATATGAACAAGAGAGCTTTTGACGAATAAAATAAGACAGCATTCTTGGAATAGGAATAGCCATATAGTTAAATGTAAAATAAGTTAAAAAAAATAGAGATTTTTAAGGAAGTTCCAGATTAAATTTCTTAACATAAATATACTGAAAAAAATCAGTAAGAAACTTTATATTGAATATATAAAAAACACTAAGACCATTAAAAACAAAAAACAAACTTGGATAAAATACTTGCAACAATATGAGCAAATTAGATTGTTAGTATATAAAGGATTGCTATAAGTTAATAAGCAAATAAAAAATCACTCTCACAATATGAGTGAAGCAATACACATATATATACATCACAGTCCCATAACAGGCTAATCAAGAGGTGAGTAAGTTCAACTGCATGAATAGTCAAAGAAACACATTAAAATAATTCATCTATACAGATTTGGCAGGAATTCTTTAAACGTGATATCAAGATTGAGGAGGGTTTAGAGAAAGTGACTCTTTTTTGTTTTTGGTACCAGGGATCGAACTTGCGCTTACCAGGCAAGCACTTGAGCCACTGAACTAAATCCCCAGCAAAGAAAGTACCTCTTTACACTGCTAGTGGTTGCATGGAATTTAGAAAACAACTTTTTTTGAAAAAGGATCTTTAAAAGACTTGTATGTTTCCATAAACATCACTGCAAGTAATTATAAGGAAATATCAAGGTATTCATAATTGTATTATTTATAACAGTAAAAAAATGAAAACATCCAAAGTTAGTTAAACAAAGGCCACTGTGCACATGTGTAAGATGCACTCATTAAAAAAGTCATGTTCTCAAATACTGACTGATGTGGAAAAATGCTCCGTGAATTGAAAAAACAAAACCAAGAGTACCATAATCAAAATTTTATAAAACACTAAATTGCATATACTGTATTTGTTATATATGTGCATATAAAAAGACTAGAAGGAAATACATTAACATTTTAATAGTTATTTACTAAGTTGTAACATTATTAGGTAGTTTGATTCTTCCTGTAATTTGGGCTAGTACGTTGATCAAAGTACTACTTGCTTTCTAAGTACTCACAGTAAGAAGTACTACAAGGTATGAAAATATATTCAAATTTGAGATCTATGTCTGGTAAATGAGCTGTATAATTCTCTAAGACTATCAGCTCTGTAAAATGAGGATTTTACATACTTATTAACATGTCAATAATTCAACTTCAACAAATATTTACCACTGCTCTCTGTCAGTTCTTGGGGATACAAGTTCTAAACCACACATTTAATGGGGAAGGCAGGCACCCAGTAAGTAGTTGGAAGAACAAAAGATACAAACAAGTTAGAACTTTTAGGTACTACATACAAAGGTTACGAAACACTCTTTGAGGAAGTCTTGCTGGTTCAGAGATAGGCAAAAAAAAAAAGTGAACATAAATTATACAAAATGCATTACCCTATATAGGAACATATTTCAAGACATACAGTTTGGAGGTAACAAAAGTTTGACATGACCGCTGAGAGAAAGGAAAATGTGAGAAAACATTAGTAAGAATTAGACTATAAGGAGAGTTTTCAAAACATACAAACCCAGAATTTCCAAAGGCAATGGGAAGTCACTGAAGAGATAAGTGACTTACAGAAGATCATAAAATAATGATGTCTCAGAAATCTGAACTCCAGGAACGTTAACTCTGAAGCTCAGACCAATCACAGGGAAAATAAATGTACACATATACTGTAAATAAAAATACCTACAGCAGATCTTTGCACCAAATTTAACTGATCAAATAATTACCTATTATTTATACTTAATATAGTATCTATATTATATGCTTTACCGTTACAAAAAAGACAAGCAAAGAACATGAAAGTGGAGATGAAGCAAAAGCAGTAATAAATTTGTCTTTCAAAATAAAAAGAGAAATAAAGCACTCCATATTCAAACATACAACAAAGCCAGGAATACAAAGACAATACAAATACAGTATTTGAGAATTTTTTTCATACTTTGTCTTAACTTTCGTTTTGTATTTCTGAGTTCCTGGGCAGTATAAGTACTTAGTTAAATGTAACACTGAAAAATTTTCAATTTAAAAACAAATGCTATGAACATCAGGACCTGACACTTCAAAAAATAATAAACATCCGTTTTATAATATTTTGTTTTGTATGAATTCATTGTGTGTGAAGATATAGACAACCATTTAGAAGAAAACAACAAACATTGTGGTAGCCACTGTAGATCTCCTGTTATCTTGCTTTGAAATCTGTGTCACATTGTTTTCTTCTGATCTACTTTGTTCTTTTTTTACTATCTTTAAAATAAAAAAATAATAATAAACATACTTTCAGTCAGAGTGCTGATTTTTAAACACTGGCATGGCTTTTAAGTTTTCAGATAAGACTGTAGATACAAAAATGAAACTAATTAAGTAATCATAAGTCTGATTCATTTTTCCTACATAATGAACACTTTGTTTAAAGTTTGTTTCTGATAAACATATAAAAATAGAAAACAAAATTCCTTTTGAAGTGAATTCTTGGGTATAAAGATAAGTAGACAACAAAAATATCATGTAAAGGTTAAATGACAGTCTTTGAGAAGCAGTAAAATTGATCCTTACATGTGTGTTCCAATTTCCTTTACTTCATGGTGTATGACATCATCAATACAACAATCAGGTTTAAGTTCAGCCACTGCAGCATTGGAAGCTGAAAGATTTAAACGCTGAGAACTTGTCTGAAGATCAGCCTTCAAAGAAAGGGCGGAGGGACCCAAATGAGGCTGGTTATTACAGGGTGTGGACAGGTATGGGTGGAAAGAATAGGGTAGGTAAGAACAAGGAGGCAGAAATGAACAGGGAGCAATACTTTTCTTTGTAAACTTTTCTGTATAGTTCTAAGCTTAGATCTATGGAAGAGTTCAAAACCCCCTCCCTTCAAACACAAATAATGAGGAAAAATTTAAAGTAGAATATAGATAGTTAATACATGACTAAACTATTACAAATGAGAAAAACAACTATAGTTGGGAGATGAGAAAGAAAAAAATGAATTAACCTAAATAAATTTACAAAACACTGTAATTTCAGTCAAAAGACAAGAATGATATCATATACAGATATTGTGCTCACCTTTTTCATTTGTTTTCATGTAAGTTTGGGACAACAGTTGTGAAACTATGTATATATTAGAAGTAAAAAAAAAAAAAGGAAAGGGCAATGTTGCAAATAAAATCTTTGGTGTTAGACTAGAATTTGAGGCATCAGTATGAACATAAAATTTTAAAACATACATGTAGGTGAATTTTAACAACACAAATAGATATGAGCATAACACTGAAAGCTAAGTATTCATCTAGAATAATATTCGATGTCAGAGACAAATTAATTTATTTCTAGGGGATGACATTAAATTTACCAATAATTTCAAGGCAGTTGTCAAGAAAAATTCAGAAAAACTGAATAGCATGTTAGGTTGTAGGGATTAGCACAGGGTTTTACTTAAGACTCAGATTCTTTCTTAATGTTAGTCATTTTGAAGTAGAATATTTATTTATACTCAGTTATAAAACAGCAGTAGTTTACATTTATTGAGCACTGGCTGTGTGCAAGACCCTGTTCCACATTACTCATTTAATCCCCACAATCTTGTACGTAGTGTTAGCCCTATTTTATGAACAATGAAAAAAAGGGCAGAGAAAAGTAACAGCTTCCCCAGCATTATACAACTGGGAGGTAACAAAGCTGAGGTTCAAAATTTCTTCATTTCAAAATCAGAGAAGAGGGGCAACAAAAAAAGGAAAGGAAATATCCAACCCATTCATTTTTCTGTCACATGGTCTCTTGGTTTCTCCCAATATGTTCTCCTGTGTCATCTTCTAACATTAATCTTGACTCCAATACAGTGTAAAAATGGCTGAATACTTTTGCCATTATCTTTTATGGCTATTACAAATAATGTACTGAACATTTATTTTCAAATGACCTACCATATTCCAGAGCCTCTTCTAGGAGTTACAGATACCTTAGTGAAAAAAACAGATCAAAATCCCTGTCCTGTTTATATCCTCTGGGAAGGAGGTGAGGAAGACAACTGATAATATACAAAGAATATCACAGGGTGTTAGCAAGTAGTAAATGTTCTGGGAGAAAAATGGCAGAATAAAGTGGTAATAAGGGGCTGGATTGGGGTAAGTAGTGTGATTTAAACTGCGTGGTAGGCTTAATGTTTCAAATTGCTTTTTGGAAGAGATTTACGCAGGCAGAGAGGAAAAAAGAAAGGAAGAATTATTTCAAAAGTAAGATGAATACAGATAGGAAAACACAACTGTAAAGACTCAAGATGTCTTTAGAAACCACGGAGCTCTTGGTATACTTAAAAGGGAGGTTCACATTCTGGAGTAAAGAAAAAACCCCTCCAGACTAAACTTCAAGACAACAGAGAAGCCTTGCTATAACCACAGTACATAGAATCATGTCTGGCACACATATTTGCTGAATGTATGTCAATGATTAGTTTAGACTGTGGTTCTTCAAATACGGATCTCCAGCCAACAGAATGTCACCTGAAATATGTGAAAAATGTCAATTTCTGGGCAGTATGCCAGATCAAATGGTTCAGAAACTCTGGAATGGAGCCGAGGAGGTTTTAACAAATCAGTTTATTTTGATGCCTTCAAAAGGTTGTGAACCACTAGTGCAGCCCATTAGATAACTATTTTTAAAAGCTTATAGTATACTAGTTACAATATTTTCTTAATAGAATCCATTTTGTTTGGCAGTATGCTTTCAGACTTACTTTTCATACTTTTGTGTGTGGGGATGGTGGGCATTGAACAAAGGTCCTTTATTTTATATAGACAGACCTTTGGTTTTCTGTTTTATTTTGAGACAAGGTCTCACTAAATTAGCCAGGATATTCTTGAATTTGTGATTTTCCTGTCTCATCGTCAGATTGCTGGGATTACAGGAGTGTTTCACATGACCAATTGAGATTTTTTTAAATAAAATGATAGTAAAGGAATAAAAACTCCAGATCACAATCTATTTCTATAATTTCAAAGTTCAAGAAACTAAAAGAAAAATAAAAGTTTTGATGGCAGAATTCTGGTTCTCTAAAGTATAATTGTGAGTTTTCCAAGATATCCTCAGGAAAATAAACATAGAAAAAGAACAAGTAAAACCACAAAAAAACTTTAGGTTAGTGTAACTATAAGGTAGCAAAGATACAAACTTCAAATAACAGGTATGGGCAATATAATTAAGCAGTCTGCTTCATCTAACAAATATCCAAATAAAAAATGGGGACAATGGAGAAAGAGTAAAGTAGTGCAACCAAGAGGAGAAAGTGAAAGGATATAATTAAACACTAAATGTCCTCTAATAAGAGGGTAAGTTGTAGGAAAACATGTAAGTGTGAAGGCAGGTATTTTGTATCGTAAAAGGAAGAAATATTGGGATGTGTGTATGTGAAGACCAGTTCTAGGAGGCTAAGGCAGAAGGATCATGGGTAATTCAGCAAGAATTTGTCTCAAAAAACTCAAAACAAAACAAAAAACTGAAATGGTTGGGTGTTAGCTCAGTGTGAAGGATGTGGTTTCAATTCCAAAAGAGAAGAAAAAAATAAATACAAAGCTAAAAGCTAGAAAAAATACCAAACATAAACTTCCCTAAATACCAAAGGACATTTTAAGAACTAAATAAGCAGTAAAAACAGAAAACCATGGTGTGGTGGTGCATGCCTATCATCCAAGCTCTTGGGAGGCTGAGGGAGAAGGATTGTGAGTTCCAGGCCAGCCTAGAAAATAGTGAGTTCAAGGATAGTGTAAACTATACAGCAAGACCTTGTTTCAATTGGAAAAAAAAAAAAAGGCCCCCAAACCAGAGCAAATTCATATAATACACTAATAACTGTAATATAAAATATGACAGCAATGAAACCAAACACATCAAATTTATTAAGAACCTTATCTACTCTCATCAAATGAATTTTGTTTATAGCTATAAGATTCCATATATATCCCTAGATCTCTGCCTGATTACAATGCCCTCTACTTTTTCTATATATTCTAACATTCTTTGAAGTTTCTCTTGCTTTTCTTTTTCTCTAATAAGCCTTCAGACTGGTAATAATCCCCAGCCATCTTTCTTCCTCTTTCAAATATTATAGTAACCACATGTACTAACAAGAACTATTTACTTCTGACAAGTAATTTTTTCATCCAATCTACCATAAACTTTGAGAATGAGAAAACACATCTCTATGCAAGTATTTTGTGCCTTTAGGCATCTTTGATGGCTTATTAATGACAATTAAAAATTTGAGCATCAACCATGCATTTTAAACCAAGAGTGGTGGGAAACATGAGTAATCCCAGCTGGTTAGGAAGCTGAAGCAGGAGGACCAAAATTTAGTGGGTAGCCTGGGCACTTGGTGAGATCCTGTCTTAAAATAAGAGTTGGGACTGCAGTTCAGTGGTAGAACACTTGCCAAGCATATTTGAAACCTTAGTTTTAATTTCTACCAATACGATGCCTAAAAAAAAATTCAATACAAAACAAAAACATTTTAATTAATTTTCAAAAATTAAAATATATCCCAAACAAAAATATCACTTACTTTTACCAGTATATCTTTTACAACTTGATTACTATCATTATGAACGCTGATGTAACTGGAAAAAGTCTCTCCCAAAAATATATTCCTGTGAAATAAAGTAAAATTATAAGCAGAAATTCATGCAGGTTTTATCATAAATATTGTGTGTGAGTACTACTTAACAACTTCAAATGGAGAAAATTGGCTAAAGGATAGAATCAGGTGAAATGCTGCTTCAGCATTCCTTCATTTATAGGAGGCTGCTTGCTGATTTACCTAGTCAATTTCAAAATAATAATGCATTTCTGATGTACAGGTATAGGTAGATAGGTTAGAAAAGGTCAAGTTTCCATTTTAAAATAATTTAGGCTCTGAATGTAAAGAGATCCAAGCTAATTCACCTTGGAGTATTTTTACCAATTTATTTTATTTTCTAAGTTATTCTAATAAAGTGACCAGTGGCTTTAGTCTATATTGTGTTACAGTTAATACAGGAATAATTTTCTAGTTTTCAAGATAGTAACCTATGAACACATTTTATAAGTCTTTAAAAAAACTCTGAAAAGTTATCTTTTGTCTCAAATTCTTCCAGTAGCAAAAATAGTGGAGCCAGGAGTTTCCACTGAACCAATAATCCAGAATAAGTGAACAGCAAAAACACAAACAAGAATAAAAAATCTAGTTACTAGTTAGCTGACAAATCTCACGTCTATTGGGAGAGAGCTTTGAGACTGACTAAAGAGTTACTTCTGAAAAAGACATTTATTATTTTTTTTTTTTTTTGGTCTCTTTCGTTTTTTTATCGGTACCAGGGATTGAACTCATGGCTGCCTGCTTGCAAGGCAGGCTCTTATGCCGCTGAAAAAGACATTTAGATACAATTAGTTATAATAAAAGGTATATATGATCATTTAAAAATAAGCTTTAAAAAAAAAGTAAGCTGGGCATGGTGGCACATGCCTGTAATTCCAGCACTCAAGTTGGAGGCAGGTGGATTGTTGCACATTCAAGACCATCCTGGGCTACAAAGTGAGCTTAAGGCTGGCCTGAAATGTGCAGGGACACCCTGTCAAAAAAAAAAGCGGGGGTGGGGTGGGGCGGGGCAGGGATTTAGCTCAGCGGCATAAGTGCCTGCCTGGCAAGCGCAAGGTCATGAGTTCGATCCTTGGCACCAAAAAAAAAAAAAAAAAAAAAAGTATGTATGTACATACATATATATGTATCTCTAAAAAAAGCTACAATGCTGTCATTTAAGGAACCACTATTAACATTTTATTTTGGTACATGTCTCATTTTAAAAAAATTACCATGTAATGTAACTTTTCAACTATATATTATAGCATTTTCCCATTCTTTATTTTTTGAAAACATTATTTCTAATGGCTTTAATATTCTGTTGTGTGTCTTATGTGATTATATTCTTCTTACCCAAAATTTTGTGGTAAAGTCAACATTTCTCCCAACATTAAAATTTCTGCACCATTTACTGTTGAAGGATCATCTCTCATTAATTGGTTAAAGAGATCTCCTGTAGTAAGAGGAAAACATAAAATTCTAGCATCTATCTGTTAAATAATTTTCCTTACATAAAAATATAGTTGAGGGGCTATGAATATAGCTCAGTGATATAGCTCTTGTCTAGTATGTGCAATGTTTGATCCCCAGAACCTCCAATAAGATATAGCCAGAAGAGATGTAGATATATTTTTATAATGTATAATGTCATTTTAATCTTTAATATAAGAGCCCTACCAAAAATTCTGATCTCACAGAATGAACATTTCAGAAACAAAGAAAAATGTAGGTCATGAGATATACAATATACTATATAAAGCACCAATAAAAAGTAGGGCATGGTGACACATGCCTGTATTCACAGTATTTAGGAAACTGAGGCAAGAATATCACTGTGGGTCCAAGACCATCTTGCGCTATGAAGTGAGATCAAGGCTGGGTTGAACTATGTAACAAGACTCTGTCTCAAAAACAAAATACACTAAGTAAAGAGAATGTTATATCTTTAGTGATGCAACATTTAAGGATAAAGATACTAATTCAATAATGTAATGAATATGATTTATCTTTACTTAAAAGCCTTCTTGTTACCATAGGACATCAACAGTATCTTGACTTGTGGATTATAATTAGGTTAATTACTCAGATAGTACAAAAAACAACAAAGAATTCAATAAAGTCTTAGCATTAGATTGGGAAAGCTGTTTATTGCAAGAAAATATAGGCAACTCAAGTTTCAACTCTTCCCTTGATGAAAACACAGTAAGCACAGGCCATACATACCAGGTAAATCTTTCTCTTCACATGTTACTGGAATATTGGTGAATAAAGTAGGCTTAGTCAATCGCATCACTGGGAAAAATAAAAGAAACATACAAAAAACATTAATACTGTTTTGGGCTAATATTTTCAAGTCCAATGTATAACATTCATCAATTTCATACTAGTACAAAATATTTAAATATTATATACTTCTTAATAATATCACTAACAAGTTGATTTACTAAAAATGTTAATGTGTTAGGCATCATGGTGCATGCCTATAAACCTAAATACTCAAAAAACTGAGGTAGAATGATAGAGAGTTTGAGATCAGCTCAGGGAACTTAGTAAGACTATCTCAAAATTTAAAAAGGAAGCAGGAAGCAGTTTGGGAAGACGTGCCTAGGAAGCAAGAGTCCATGGGTTTACTCCTCAGTACAACCACCACAAAAAAAAAATAAATAAAAGTTATCATGCAATAAAAATTTATAACCAAAAGAGAATAATTTTGATGTTTTTACAGCCATAAAAATTAAATACAAATGCCCAGCCTGGCGGATCTCCCTCCCTCACCTGGGGGCCACGCCGTGGCTTCCTGCCGGGAACAGTGAGGAGGGCCGAGCCACATAACCCTGTCCCAGTGTGGCGGACCTATGTTCCTCACCTGGGGGCCAGGCTGCGGCTTCCGGCCAAGAACAGTGAGTCAGCCGAGCCACGGAACCCCGTCCCAGCCTGGCGGACCTATCTCTCCCGCCTAGGGGGCACACCGCAGCTCCTGCCGGGAAGAGTGAGGTGGGCCGGGGGACCCATTCCAACCTTGCTGACCACCCTCTCTCACCCGGAGGGCACAGGGAAGCTGCCCCACCTGAAGGAGGGAACTGGGCCATGCTGTGGGAAACTGCTCTGACCTTACCTACAACCTTCTTTGGCCTGGAGAGCTCCAGCACTACTGCCAGCTCCTGGAGGAGGGAGCAGCCTTGCTGAGGAGGGAAGCTTTGCTACCACAGAGGGGAGCGGTACAGCTTAAGAAGGCTTTAGGTCTACCTGAGAGGAGCCTGGCAACCTTCTCTTAATCCAGGGGCTTACTGTCCAAGGAGGGAGCTATACTACCAGAGGAGTCCCAGGAGTCCAGGACATAAGAGACAATTTCCAACACGCCCGGGGGAAGCTTGGAAAAACACTTGAAGCTCAAAAATATAGGAAAATGACAAAACGAAAGACCAAAATGCAATCTCAACTATCTAGCTCATCCCAAGAAAGCCTAGGAGCCATATACATAGAAAAAAATACATGCCACATACCTGAAATACCTGAAATAATAGTAACCAAAATAAAGAAGCAACTCTGGGAAGCCTTAAAGGAATTCAAACTAGAAATAATCTTTCAGGTAAAAGAAGAAATAATAAAAGAAATGAAGGAGATGCTGAACATATCTAAAGAAGACACACTTAAAAAATTGGAGGCACTAAACAAAAAGATAGAATCCCTGAATGAACAATATAAGAAACAAACAATATATAAAGCAGATGCAAAGAGATATACAGAAAATCAAAAACGCCATAAAAGTTGTAAAAACCGCCTCAATGAATATGAAGATAGAATTTCAGACCTTGAAGACAAGATTGCAGCCAGTGAACAGGAAAGATCTTTTAAAAATAACAAGAAATCAGGAAATAACAATTCAACACCTGCAAGATGACACAAAGAGGAACAACATAAGATTGATAGGGATAAATGAAAAAGGGGACAACATAAAGGATGTCAAGAGGATATTTAGAGAAGTAATAGCTGAAAATTTCCCAAACATGAGATTGGAAACTGATATCAAGATCAATGAAGCATAGAGAATTCCAAATAGCTATAACCAAAATAAAACTACATCCAGACATATAATAATTGCCATCCCAGAAATCAAACAAAAGAATAGAATATTAAAAGCTGTCAGAGAAAAAAGACAGATCACCTATAAAGGAAAACTTATCAGAATCACAGCAGACTTCTCAGCACAAACAATAAAGTCAAAAAGTGAAGTATTTCAGATCCTAAAGGAAAATGATTTCCAACCTAGACTGATGTAGCCTTCAAAACTGTCCTTCAAAATCGATGGAGAAATAAGATATTTCCATGACAAAGAACAGCTGAAAAACTTCATGATCACCAAGCCAACCCTGCAAAGATTACTGAAAGACAGCCTAGACACATTTAGGATAAAACCACTAAACAAAGCAGACAATGAAACAGAACAGAAAGATAATGCAACAGCAGAAAGATAACATGTCAACAATAAACCAATATATAACAGTTATAACCATTAATGTAAATGCACACATTAAAAGGAACAGACTGGCAGAATGGATCAAGAAACAACATCCAACCATATGCTGTCTACAAGAAACCCATCTAACCCAAAATGCTACTCACAGACTAAAAGTCAAAGGATGGAAAAACAATACTTCATGCAACAGGAACCCCCCCCCCAAAAGCGGGGGTAGCTATTCTGTTTGGAGACAATGTGAACTTCAAGCCAATAATGATCAGAGGGAATAAAGAAGGTCACTACATACTGGTTAGGGGAAAACTCCAAGAGGAAGAGATAACTATCTTAAATATATATGCACTAAATTCCAGAGCACCCAGTTATATAAAACAAGTATTAACAGAAATGAAAAACCAAATTAGCAGTAACACAATTCTAACAGGAGATCTTAACACACCATTGACACCAATGGACAGATCAACCAGACAGAAAATCAGCAAAGAAATAAAAGAACTGAATCACACCTGTGAACAAATGGACTTAATAGACATATACAGAATATTCCATCTAACAACAGAATATAGAATACACATTCTTCTCAGCAGTACTCATTCCATTTAGAGAATGGGTCATTCTCTAAAACAGACCATATATTAACTCACAGAACATATTTAAATAAAGGCAAAAGAGTTGAAATTATCCCTTACATGCTATCAGATCATAGTGCTATGAAATTAGAAATTAATGATAAAAGATGTAAAAATCCCACAAACACATGGAAACTGAATAACACACTCTTGAGTAATCAGTGGGTCACAGAAAAAATTAAAGAAGAAATTAAACAATACCTACAAGCAAATGAAAACTCAAATACAACTTACCGGAATCTGTGGGATGCAGTGAAAGCTGTCCTCAGAGGAAAACTTATTGCCCTGAGTTCCCACATCAGGAAAACAGAATGAATACAAATTAATAACCTGATGTTACACCTCAAACATCTAGAAAAAGAAGAGCAAGTCAAGCCAAAAGCCAAAAGAAGAGAGGAAATTATAAAAATCAGAGCAGAAATCAATGCATTAGAGACTAAAAAAAAAATAAAAAAATAAAAAAAAAATCAATGAATCAAAGAGTTGGTTCTTTGAAAGAATACATAAAATTGACAAGCCCCTAGCCAACCTTATTTTAAAAAGGTAAGAAAAAGCTCAAATTCATGCAATAAGGAATGAAAGAGACGAAATCACTACAGACCCTATAGAAATACACAAGATCATCAACACCGATTTCAAAAACCTCTACTCTCAAAGGTTTGATGACACAGAGGAAATAGACAGATTCCTAGAAGCATATGAAGTACCAAAGCTAGGTCATGAAAATGTAAAACTGCTGAATTACCCAATTTCTATTGATGAAATTGAAAATGTAATTAAATCTTTACCTACAAAGAAGAGCCCAGGCCCAGATGGATTCACTGCAGAATTCTACAAGAAATACAAAGAAGACCTAATGCCAACACTCCTCAAACTCTTCAATGAAATTGAAAGGGAAGCAATCCTTCCTAAATCGTTCCTAGAAGCAAATATTACTCTAGTACCAAAACCTGAGAAGGACCCAACTGAAAAAGAGAACTACAGACCAATCTCCCTAATGAACACAGATGCAAAAATCCTCAATAAAATATTGGCAAATAGGATGCAGCAAATCATCAAGAAGATTATATACCATGACCAAGTGGGATTCATCCATCCCAGGCATGCAGGGATGGTTCAATATACGTAAATCAATAAATGTAATACACCATATCAATAGAGTCAAAAGTAAGAATCATATGATCATTTCTATAGATGCAGGAAAAGCTTTTGATAAGGTCTAACATTCATTTATGAGAACTCGCAGAAAATTGGAATAGATGGTCTTTACCTCAATATAATAAAGGTCGTCTATGACAAACCAACAGCCAATGTCATACTAAATGGCCAAAAATTGAAGGCCTTTACTTTAAAATCAGGCACAAGACAAGGATGTCCCTTATCACTGCTCCTATTTAATATAGTACTGGAAATACTAGCCAGAGCAATTAGACAAGAGCAAGAAATAAAAGGCGTAAAGATAGGAAAAGAACAAGTTAAATTATCATTATTCACAGATGACATGATACTCTATATAGAAGATCCCCAAAACTCTACTGAAATACTCCTAGATATAATAAATAAATTCAGTAATGTAGCTGGATACAAAATCAATACTCAAAATCAATAGCATTTCTATACACTAACAACAAAATCACAGAGAGAGAAATAAGAGAAGCTACACCCTTCACACTAGCAACTAAAAAAATGAAATATTTAGGAGTTACTCTCACGAAAGAAGTGAAAGACCTATACAGGGAAAATTATAATACACTGAAAAATGAAACTGAAGATGATCTCAGAAAATGGAACGACATCCCTTGCTCATGGATAGGAAGAATAAATATTGTGAAAATGGCCATTCTCCCAAAACTTTTATACAGATTCAATGCAATCCCGATAAAAATACCATCAACATACCTCATAGAACTTGAGAAATCACTCCTAAAATTCATCTGCAGGGAGAAGAGACCTAGAATAGCAAGCGCAGTTCTACACAGCAAAGACAAGGCAGGAGGCATCACAATCCCTGACTTGAAGTTATACGACAATAACTGTAGTAAAATCAACATGGTACTGGAACCAAAACAGAGCCAAAGGTCAGTGGAATAGATTAGAAGATACAACCACAACTACAAACACACTCAACCACCTTATTTTTGATAAAGGGGCCAAATATGTTCACTGGAAGGACAGTCTAATAAATG